TTGACTAATTCAGTTATTGAGCAAAAGAGAGCTGCTTACACATCATGTCTTCTGTCTGACAGTCGGTTATCGACAAGAGAACTCACCATAGTTGCTTGATTAGTCTAGAAACTTTCTGTCGCAGTCGTGTCTTGTAGTGAATGTATTTTTTAAGGCGTTGCCTCACGATCAGTGTCCAGTGTGGGCGGTTTCCGGCCACTTTCCCTTAAATCTTTCCTGGAACTCATGAGAAGTGTACAATCTTCCGGGTGGCCCAGAATCTCCGGTTGGAGCAGAGCCAAGGATCAGCTGAGTCCGGAAAGTTTACCTGGAACATCTCGACGCAATAAAGGAAAATAGGGTTGACGAACTCACAAACATGAAACTCGGGATCCTGCGAAGATTTCGTGTTTCACGCGTGTTCGATTCAGAATTTCTTAAACTCTTCGAAACTCCGGCGAAGGGCGATATTTGATTTTTACAAATTTCCAAAAGTACTTTATACCGAAACGAGCCTTCATTCTTTATAGTACTGTATACTTCCCCCAGCAGCACGTCAACACGGGTGTGCTGGAATTCCTGGTAAGATTGCAAACGTATCTGGTGTCGGTGACTCGCATGTTTCTCTTTCTGTCAGGTACCATTTTGGTTCCGGAATGTCACGCCCTTAGCATCACATGACGCGGTGCAGCCGCACTCCGTGCATCGCGCTACAGAAACTCTCACGCCGAGTAATTGCGCAGGTTAAACGGCCTATAACTTTGAAAGCCGTTCCAACTGGGGAACGTGGAAGTCATATTTCAAGGCGAGTTCATGTTCCACTACCCCCTGTCTTCTTCGACCTGCCGAATAAGTCAGGGCTGTCGATGGTCGATGTATCCTTCAGCAACGAGCTCGTAGCAATTTGTTTCCAAAAAATGGCCCGGCTTTTATGCAGCTGAGTTATCTAGTATAATTAACGGATCTTCTTCGCCCGTAAAATACATCACTCAAATGGAATAGGATAGTTAATTTGCTGTGAATTCCTCTTGCGAATGAACGGGGGAACCCTGAATTCATTCAAACAAATCTTCAAGTTTGTTCAGTTACTTAATCTAGCAGAGACAAAAATCAGTTCATGGTTTAAAATAAAATATTGTACGAGTTTAATGACGTTCTAAGTCTCAAAATTCGGGTAGCACAGGTTATTCAATATACAGTAATGCAAGGCAAATTAACGAAAATACTTATCTATTTTATTTCCACGTCATGGAACTTGATTAGGGGCTTTTTCTTCTCTCTGAAATCTGAAATTTTGATTAAGGTAGAATACAGTCCTTAAATAATGGATGCTAAGACGCGAAAAACTCGTCTGCAGTCCTAGATTGTTCCTAAAATTTCTAATGTGTCAAATTGAAACGTATATTCTATTACCGTACGATTCAAATTTATCTTATTGATGCTAATTAAAGCCACTGTTACGGTGTGGCAAATTCTTAGCTTGAAAAATTTTACTAGGATTTCTTCATGTACAAGGCATATTTCTGTAAGGGCACTTATTTAGCAGCATTTCTGAAATATAACAGGAAAAGCATTGTGATCTGTGCGCTGAACGAACTGCATTATACAGTACCATTTAAATGCTATGTGGCACTTCGGCAACGGAGCTGCGATCATCGAGAGCGACCTGTTCTTATATCGGCACGGAATTTTGTGACATTAATTCTGGTCGAAAAACGCTAAAAATAATGAATACGTGCAGGTCAGAAAAAAGCGTCGCAGGTAATAAAAGGCAGTTCCGCTCCTGAATGGGATGAAGTCATCGATCGGCACGGAATTTTGTGACATTAATTCTGGTCGAAAAACGCTAAAAATAATGAATACGTGCAGGTCAGAAAAAAGCGTCGCAGGTAATAAAAGGCAGTTCCGCTCCGGAATGGGATGAAGTCATCGAATACGAGCTCGGTTCTAAGAATTCCCCATCCCCCTCGGACACGGTTGATCTCGTTGTCAAAGACTATGAAAAAATTGGGAGAAATAGGTGAGGATTCAGGGGATTGTTTTTTTATTTTGTTTTACGTATCCCAGTGACGTTTCTAAATCGACTGATAGGCTGCTGGGAAAGGCCTCTTTGAAGTTGTCGGAAATCTGGGGACATCCTCCGTCACCTAATCCAAAGCAGATCGATCTAACGTTGCTGGACAAAAATGCTTCACCCGTCGGCTCGTATTTGAAGGTTTAACAATTTAAAATTTTCTGCATTCCGATTGGGGCTTTCATTGCTCTATTTCTTTTCCCCGCGACAGGTGGAAATTTCTTGCACCGTACCTGCAGCGATGCAAACAACAGGTCCAACCCAGCTCGTTGCTATTAGCAATACTTGCGATGGGACTCTCAGCGCAGCGGCTGGTTCTGCTGCGACTGCTGGTTTGTGTTTTACATTCCGCGAAAAATTATTCAATTTTGTTTCATGTTTTCATTCAACATTTTAAAGAAGGGACCGCGTCGATGCAACAACAAAACGAAGCGTATCCAAACGTATTTGGGAACGGGATGGTATCTGCTGCCAGACGCCAATTGCCTGACAAGGAAACTAAATTCCAGGTCACAGCACTGATCCGAAATGAAATCCTGCTTCCCCAAAGATGCATAATCGTGAAATGGAATCCATAAAATAAACTACTTCATATTTTTCATACGCACCTGTTGACGAAAGCTACGCCGAATGAAAATCAGCAAGACATTTCTTTGAATAGAGGCCTGCAAAATCGAAATTTTGATTTTTAATTCCACATTTAAATGCCTGGATGATCTGCGGAGCCATTTCTGACGGAATTGGAGGCAAAAAATTTTTGAGTTTGCGCATTTGCCTTCTCAGCATGCATAATTTTTTGGGATTTTTCATGGAAAGATCCTATACCTTAATTTTTAAAACAATGCTAATTGATCATTGAAAGGCTTTATTCGGGGAAAAAGGTAATTATTACCTCCGTTGAGGTAACTTTAAACTTAATTTCCAGGTTCGGGTGAAAGTCATCGAAGCTCGCCAATTGAATGCAGGCTCTGCAGCGTCAGTGAATCCTGTTGTCCAACTCAAGTTGTTAAACCAAGTTGAAACCACTTCTGTCTCCAAAGCCACCCTCAATCCATGGTTCGACGAGGAATTTTATTTCTATCCCTCGAAGAGGCCGATGGAGCTTTTTCAGGAAAATATAATTTTCGAGGTAGATTCATCAGCGTTATAGGTTGAATTAATTCAATAAACGGAGTTTTATTTTTTTCAGGTTTCAAACGCGAAGAAATTTAGGTCGGACTCGATAATTGGTTGCTTTTTGGTGGGTTGATCATGCTTGAAATAATCAGATTGCCTACAAATACTAATTTAAATTTATGGCGGGTGTTCAGATGGATCTTGGGACGATTTACGATCAACCACAGCACACTTATCTCCATCGATGGCTACTTTTGTCGAATCCTACCGACGAAAGAAATACTTCGGGTTATTTGAAGATATGCGTGGCTGTTCTCGGGCCGGGTGACGAGGCCCCCAGCTTCGATTCGTCGATTTCGAGCACAGACGAGGACTTGGAAACGAATGTTTTGTACCCTTCGGGAATTGCCCTCGCACCTGCTTCATTTGCAATTTCAATTTACCGTGCCGAAGACCTTCCGAGAAGTAAGCAATGGCTTATCGGTATACTCTCGCCTGCAGGAATTTCCCTAGAAATCTTTTCTTTTGCTGGGAAATTTCCTTACAAGCTCTTTCAAATTTCTGAACGTTTTAATAAAACCCATCAATGCATCCCGGTTGATATGAACACATTTTTTGCCCACAAAACGAAAAAAAAAAGTTTGGAGCTGTTTCGACGAGATATGATCGACCACCATCACATGTAGTACCGCCTTCAAAATTTACTGTAGATGGTCTTGATAGAATATTGAATCAAAAGCAACGATTTATAATGAGAGTCGAGCGTAAATTCAACGAAGTAAAAAATTCCAAAGTAAAACGTACGTTACGCTCTGCAATATTTTGCTGGAGTCATATTACAGTGTTCCAGGGGGTTACCGTCGAAAATTTCCTCTGTCCGATGTCTTTCTCGGTGTCTTCAGCCAGCTTTTGAATTTCAGTGGACAGTGGGGCGGTTCAAACCTTCAAGAAAATTTTCAGCATCGGCGAGGCTAAGCCAAAGAAGGAGCAAGTGGATCCATACGTTGTGGCAAAATTTGCCGGAAAGAAATCTCGATCGAAAACTGTTTACGGAAACGACAACCCAGTTTTCAACGAGACTTTGCATGTTGGATTTCTGTTTCCGTCGGTATCTGACAAAGTGAAACTCATTTTAAGAGACTGGTATGTAGTAAATTGACTCAAATTGAAAATGAATTTGCCAAGTAACTTCAATTTGCGTTCCAGGGATCGATCGTCCGACGATGACACGATTGCGACAACTTTTCTCTCCATCCCAAATATTTCAGCCGCTGGCGACGAAGGTAATAATGCCGCGCGCATTCGATCACATTTCAGATATTTTAATTCAAAATATTTCTGTTTATATATCCTCTGCAATATTGGACGGAATCTCCAGCTGTTCACGGTGAGTTTTCATAGCCAACTATTATTTTGATCTGATATTCTATAGAATTTTGCATTCATCTGACAGGATATTTGCCGGTGTTTGGACCAGCCTTCGTAAATTTCTATGGAACCACCAGGAAGTTTTCAGCGCTGCAATCGGCTTACGATGAGAAACAGAATGAAGGAATTGTTGAAGGCTGTTCTTATCGAGGAAGAGCCTTGGTATCTTTGACAACTCAAATAGGGGAATATCCGAAAGTGTCGATTTCGGCGATCGACAGCGATGAGATATTGAAAGTTGACGTGAGTTCGTGGAAAAGAGTTTCTTTTGGGGACTTGCTTGTCTGACGAGCCATATTGTCCCTCAGAAATTCCTCAGACGACGACGTTTCGTTATTCATGTGTCCTTCATGAATGCCAGCATGATCAGCGAATATGAAAACCCGGTTGAATTTGAAGTTTCCATGGGAAATTTCGGGAATAAATTCGAAGATTCTGTGATGCCATCGCCGTCGACAACGCAACCAACAAATCCCGTTTTCGACGGATCAGGGTGAGAAATACGGTGTGGGCCAAATGAGCGCCGGGGACAACTGAGCGTTAGACAGCATCGGGGAGAACTGAGCGCGAGACAACTGAATTCCGATTTGTTCTTCTAAAAAGGAGATCAGTTCTCATTGATGCTTAGCTGTTTGATGCTCACTTAATCCAGATACAGTAATGAGTTGCTCGATGTCTCAATGTTCAGTTGTCCTCGATGATCCCGTGTGTTCAACAATCAGTTGGGTGGCGCTCATCAAGCGGAAGTGCAATCATCACAATACGAACATTCGTTGATTTTTTTGCAGATACTATTTTTTGCCTTGGAACGAGTCTAAACCGGAAGTCGCCGTCACGTGTCAATGGGAAGACATCGGTTTCAGAATCAAGTCTCTAAATAAGTTGCTGAATATGAGCCGGCGTTTGAAAAACGGAATTCGGCAACTTGAAGATGCTTTGAAAGCCGGGAAAACGACTCAAGATCTTGCTGTTCAATTCTTGGCCGTCATCGACAGGCTTCTGGCTGATTGCGAGCAAGTTCAAAAATTTTATTTTATTCGCTGAGATACCCCGACTATAAGGCTAGATTTTTGCAGAAATGATTTGCCCGAACCCGAAGTCGGTGTTCATGTACCCAATCCATTGGATGGGCTGATGAAAAACAGGAGAAAAGCAGAGCTGAAGAGACTCAGTAAGCAAGCATTCGAACTTCGTACCCATGCGACTGATATCAACGAGGTTATCAAGGAGCTGGAAAATTACTCTGCAACGTTGGATTCCATCGCGATTGAGGTAAATTCCTCAAAATATCCTCGTAAACGATAACACCAATAATGAGTTAATTTTCAGCCACAAAATAGTCTCCCAGACGTTATCATATGGATGCTGTCTGGTGATAAAAGGATCGCTTATCACCGTGTTGCTGCTCATGATATTTTTTATGCTGCTGACGAAGAGCACAGTGGTGCTTTTTGCGCAAAAACCATGGCTTTTGAGCTGAAATACCCGGAAGGTTCTGATCATCATTCACTACACCCAAGATACACAGTTTTCAATTGTGTTTTTGTGTTTAAAGGTGATGATTCGAATATGAGGACGGAGATACCAGGATTGTTGCGAGTAAAGATGTGGTTCGGATTGCAAGCGGATGAAGCTCATTGGTTTGAACAAAATCCAAACACAGAAGTCTCGGTTTTCGCGGAGACGTATGAAAATCAGGTTTGAAAGTTGCAGCGGAATGAAATTGTAGAATTTAGTTCTCACGGATCTTCGCAATCAGATGAAACTGAAATCGTGGGGCACCAAAGGACTTCTACGGCCAAACTGGAGCGACGTCAGCGGAATGTACTCGTTGCCCAAAGGGTTTTTCGAAGAGCCCGAAAACTGGAAATTCAGCGGAGATTGGTTCGTGAACCCGGAACCCAGGTTAGACGTTTTGGCTGAATTCGTAAAGGCCCATTAAGGCGGAGCTAATGACTTAACTCATAGTTAATCCTTGTTTATTATGAATGCAACATGCGCTTTTCGCCATTTTTCTCCGTTGAAAAAGCAGCAATTCCTCAACGCGATGAACCTCATAGCGGATATTCTCCTTTGGTGATTTTCGCAGTGTTGCCCTTCACTATCATTCGAGAGGAGTTTCCGGAAGGTTAGCCCGACGAAGAATGTCTGATGCCACCTTAGTTTTCGTCCTTCAGTTTGCCCATTCTCGAGTTTTTTTCGCCCTTCCTGCTCACTATCGCAGCTTCGTGTCTCTGGTTTTTATTTTTCGCTTATGTGTCACAGCTTTTTCTTACACGCGAGGGAATAATGACTCACATAGTCCTGTGCATATTTCGGTTAGTTTCAACTAGCAAGAACAAGGGGTTAATGATGTTGATGTGTCCGTCTCACTTTCTTCAAATGTTGCTCGTAAATCAATATTCCGAACTAAACTTTTTAAATACTGTATAATGCATTTTTCGTAACACCTGACAACACGATTACTCTTATTCCAAGCGCGCGGTTAAAGTTCAAACGAATTAAATTTTCCGGAACCAAAAACTTCAAACTCACGACTTCTACCCGGTTGCCTTACCTATTGCTCCCTGCTTCTGTACTCAGATTTCATGCTTTGAAATATTGGCTGATGAGCAAGGCGATTTTATTAATTTTTTTCTATTTGCAATTTTCACAGCATGGGATACGATATGGATGCAGGACACCGGAAGTTCCTCGAGGACGTTTTCGAAAATGAAAACCGGATTCCAGGTGGCAAATGGGTCAAACCCTTGACGGCATGGACGGACGTACGCGGAGACCCGAAAGCTCCCCGAGACGACATCCAATGTCCTTCCGGTTGGATCTGGTCTGAAGATGATTGGGAGGTACGTGAGTCAGCAGTCTCTGTAAATCCATCATTCGAGTTCTCAGACGCAAACTCATAAATGACGTCTGCTTGAGGGCAGTACTGAAGACATTCAAATTGTCGCTGTAGTATGCGTCGGAATATCTTGGCGTGACTGTTCGGATTTTTATTTATTTCTTGATGACGATTTAAACTTTGAAGATGACTTGGGGTCGTGGATATTGAGTCATCTACTGTGCCCCTGTAAACGAATTAACCCGCGAAAGTAATTTGACCGACCAACATTCTGGCCATGCGCTTTATTCACATCACCATGGAAGTAAAAAAAAAATATTACACAAGCGAAGAAACGACAAAAACCATGAATGTGGCAAATCAGCTAAAAATGCAGCCACTTTTATATCACTTGTAAACAAAGGAAATTTTATTCAAGGAGCTAAAGCTAAATTTGTTAAAATATTGTTGTTTACAAATCCCAAGGGAAATGCAAAGATTACCATTCAACTGCTGTGCAGCTGTTGCACTCGAATATTAAATCTTGTTATTTTCATCCCTTAAAATATCACAAGAGCAGGATATGTGCAAAAGGAAGGGCTCAAATTTCTTGAGAATATTCTACTGTATAATCTAAATGTGATATCAAGAAATCCTGGCTTATAATGTAAACAGCCTATCGAGAGCTTGAAAAGCCTTTGGGGATGAGAAGATTCAAAATGATTCAAACTCCTGCAAGGTATTACAAGACGCTGTAGAGCAGCTCTTGAATATTCAATTACTGCATTTGACAACATTCGCGTTTAATTTCATATTTTACCGTGAATCAAATAAAAATGTCCCGACGATTCCGTCGACCAGGTCGATAGAAATCGTGGTGTCGACGAGGATGGCTGGGAATACGCCGTCGAACCGAGCTTGGGCGGTTACAGCAGCGTTGAAAAAGTCTACCACGTTTTCCGCCGTCGACGTTGGGTTCGTCAGCGAGTCGTCGATCCCAACTCCAAGGCTGAATCTCGAGTGAGAACATAGTGAAATGATTGAATTAAGAATACGTATAAGTTTTTCAAATATTTCTCTTTTAACCAGGGCCCAACGATCAACGAAGAAGGCTGGGAATACGCCCCACTGTTCAACCTCAGATTTCATGGACACGAACGAAAAATCGATGTCGTAAGACGCCGACGTTGGCACCGGAAACTCGTCGCTGAAGACCCTACTGCAAAGCCACCCCATTTCAACGTACTAGGTAAATTAAAAATACCCTCATAGTTGACCAGCACAATTCGAAAATGTTATTGGAATGGTAATTTATCTAACATGGCCGACGAATTCTGGTTGATTAAGCAATCAGAACGGATATTCGTGACAGATGACCACGATGCCGAAAATCGTCGAATCTTAATAAAGTATAGGAAAATTCGATCATGCTTCTCCAGATGAAGGTGGCTCAGATGGAATTCAAGCTTTGGCGATCCCGAGAATGTTCCTGACCTTCAAGGAATCCCACACCTATCAATTGCGTGCTTATATGTACCAAGCCAGGGATTTGCTGGCAGGAGATCGAAGCGGGTTTTCTGGTATGATAAACTTTACAAAATTCGGATGCTGAAGAAGTCCCGAAAACAATGCATATTTTGAGCAGATCCATACGCGTCGGTGTGCTTTTTGAACCAGTCACAGAGGACAGAGAAAATATCTTCTACCTTGAGTCCGACGTGGGATCAAACATTGATTTTTGATGAAATTCCTATCGTTGGGTCCACCGAACATATTTTTCAACAACCACCTGTTGTCGTCGTCGAACTTTTTGACAACGATGAATATGTGAGTCATACCAGTCTTGTGAAACTGGCTCAGCTAACTGAAATATTTTGCATACACTGTGTTTCGTGTACGACTAAAAGTATTTCCTGTATCACGCAATTCAATATTTCCAGAAATTTCACGAAGAACTTTATATGTCGCAAGAAAATCGAAACTTTTTTTTACGGGAATTTTTTACACCCGGTTAAAGCCTGCTGATTTTTGAAAGAAAATCCCTTGAACTGAAGAATGGTTTTGTTTTTAAGGGTTAACATTTTTGATGAGAAAAATGGGCCAGAAAGATCTTCTGGGGTTAAACAGTCAGGGCATTTCTTTTTTCGGTGTGATTTATTTTCATTTTTGCAGGCGTAAGATAATCTCGTGCGTTAAGGCCAATATATATTCTCACGTACCTGGTGGCCTACGCAAGAAGTTTTCTTAGTTTGAATCATAAATAATTTCGAATATGTTTCCCTGTGTTATATCCCTTTGAATTAATGTACATCGTGCAGTAGAAGAAGCTCCGTTTTGTTCAGAAAATAATACATTATTTTCATTCTGTGCTGCATAGGGAAAACCCGAGTTCCTGGGAAGAGCAAAAATTACACCCACGGTGGACTTGAATCCGGAAGGTGGAAAAGCCCCTAAACTCGCATGGCACACGATCACGCGTTTTTCGGACGAAAATGGAGGCGAATTGCTGGCGGCGTTTCACCTGATGCTAAAAGATGACCAGGATTTGCCATTTTTCCCTCCTCAACGCGGCAGTTTATTTATAGTCCCGAATGGCATTCGTCCTGTACTGCAGAGAACAGCTGTGGAGGTAATCGAATTATTTTAAGCATGTTGATTTAAATTCGTTCAGCTGAAAATACGAATCGAACGATTTCCAAAATGGCGTCTCCGTCATGCAGTACTTAATCATCAGGTAATCGGGCCCCAAGGAATTAATTTTCCTCAATATCTGTCTAAGAAAATCTTCTGGATCAAAAATTCTGAGCATAGAATGAGGATTTCTGCATTTGCTCAAATATGGTGTCTAGAGAGTTACAGATACTGTATTACTGTAGATTAGTATTCTTTTTCATTAAACTCGGGGTGTCAGTCGACTGTGTTCTGGATCAGGCAACAAATTTTAGAAATAATTTCAGAATGCGAGAAATTTGGTTTAAATTATGTTTTAAACATTATTCAAAATCAACTGCGAATAAAACAAAATTTTTCTGCTGCTGTGACGACGCAGCAGTACTGTACACAAAGAAAAAAAGTCAGGTCAAGGACTATGAGGATGACTCATAGTATAATTGAGATACTGTCGCGACATTAGTGAAATCTGCTCGCACTAAAGGTATTGTTGATGAAGTCGAAAAAAAGCTTGGGAATATCACATCGAACGAATAAAAGTTATCCCACAGCGCACAGACTTGATACACTATGCATGGATACACTATATTGATCTTAAAAAAGGGTGTAAAAAATATTCATCTTAAAAATGAATAGGTATTATGCTGGGGCTTGCGGAATATGGACACCTACGACCTCATGCCAGTGAAATCGCCGTCCATTGAATTCGAGATTGGTGACACTGTTGTGACATCTACTGTAATCCCAAATCTTCTCAAGTCACCAAATTTCCCGGAACCAGCCCTCATCTTTGATATTGTGAGTATTAACCGGAAAAGCTATAGACTATCAGTATACACAAGTTATTTCACGTTTTACGAAATAGATGCTGCCGAGGGAAGACTTGTACATGCCACCCCTGAACATCAAAGTCCGGGACCATCGTTCGTTTGGCAGCAAGCCGATCGTGGGCAGAACAATTTTGAAGTCTTTGGAAGGATTTCGCGTAGAACCAAGGAGCTTCTCAGGCGACGAAGATCTGATGGTTGTGCCCTCTGTTAATAATGGCGGTAATTTGGCGCTAATGGACTTTGAAACCTCAATGATCGATGGAACTGACTCGACACGGTCGACGGCAAAATTACTTTCTGGAGATACCAGCACGATAATCACGATCGAACCGTCATTAGAAGAACTCGCTAAAGTAAAGTCGAAAGCTTCTAAACGAAATTTTTGCCGGAATATAAACCTTCATGCTTCGCAGGAAAAAGAAATCCATGTGGCTGTGGACTGGTGGTCGAAATATTACGCGTCAGTGGGAGAGAAGAAAATGAGCGGGAAATATACGGAACAAGGGTGAGAACCGTGAACCGACATTAAGCGTATTTTTCAGGCATAAAATAAATGATATCTATATTTTAGCTACGAAAAACTCGACTTTTTCTCTTCCGAGCTGGAAGAAGTTCCTCGATACAAGAAGTTTGAAGATTTCTTGTCATCGATCCAACTGCGAAAGTGCAAGCCAAAAAATCCTAAGGCGCTCGGAAAAGTAGTTGGGGAATTTAAGGTGAGATCATGTTCTTTGATTATGAAGATACATTTTAGCCAGGAGTTTATTTTTTTATTCTTAGGGTACTTTCAAAGTGTATCCCTTACCCGGTGATCGCAATGAAGCTTTACCCCCAAAATATCTTGAAGCGCTTCCGTCATCCAATGTTGAAGAAGCGATCGTGCGCGTTTATATTGTTCGGTGAGTATAAACCCTGGCCATTTCACTATGAATTTTAAATTGAATGTAAGGTACCTTTTCAGAGCCAGAGACTTGGTCCCAATGGATCCCACGACTCGTCTTGCTGACCCATACGTAACCGTGATGTGCGGGAAAAAGAAACATTCTTCCAAGAAGGAATATCGGCCAAATACGCTGAATCCCATTTTTGGCCAGTGCGTGAGACATGCATATTTAATTTGCTGTACTGAGAGTTCGTTGACGCCATCGTGTCCAAAACTTTCAGTATGTTCGAGCTTACCGCTGAAATACCGACGAAGAAGGATTTGGTTATACAGGTGTGGGACCACGACGCCATCGGCTCTGACGATCTGATAGGCGAAACCACGATTGACCTGGAAAATCGCTGCCTCACGAAATATCGAGCCACCTGTGGGCTTCCGAAGCTTTATCACATGTTGGTTTTATTCATTTTATTTGGCTTGCTTGAAACTATGGTATAACTAAAAATATGCTGACTAATCAATTAGGCTCTTCGTCGGAATGGTCAAATATCGCGGATAAGCTGAAGATTCTTTATTCAGCTGTAAAAAAATATGAAAGAAAATCTTACCTAATATATGGTAACTGAAATTTCGACAAATCTCTGTGTATCGGTCGATCAGTGGGAAATTGTCCGGTCTAGTTAAAATCACTAGGTACATGTGCCGCTTTGTTTTCTCCCCATGGATCGAACCTACAGTTGAGTTCGATTAAATGTCCGAATTGATAAAAATGTTTTACCTCTGAATCAATTTAAATGTTTTCAAAGATCTGGTCCTAACCAATGGCGAGACTCCAACAAGCCCAGGGAAATTCTTGAACGTATGGCGATGATGTGGCACTACGGAAAGCCGATTTGGAAGGGCGCTCGTTCCGTTACAGTGGGCAACAAAAGCTACTCTTTGGATGATTTTGGTTAGATCAGCAGTATTTTTGGCTTATTCGTAAATTTAAGCATGAGTATTTAAAAAATTCAGAGCCAGTTGGCGCAAAGCTCCCGCCGTCAGTCGGTTCCGAAGCAGAACGGCTTGCACTGTACGTCCTTCACTCTGGGCTCAATTTGGTCGGCGAACATGTTGAAACTAGATCACTTCATCGATCAAATTTGCCGGGTTTGGAGCAAGGAAAACTCGAGTTATTCGTGGATATTTTCCCAAAGTCCATGGGGTCACCGGGTCCGTCCCTCAGCATCGAACCGAGGATACCCACGAAGTACTGTACCCGCTTTAGTTCCGTATTTGTTTTACGATTGAAAATTTTTAAATTACGACTCCTAGATACATTTTACGTGCCGTTATCTGGAACACGAAGGATGTCGTCATGCAAGAGACAAGTGTTGTGACTGGAGAATCCATGTCAGACATTTTCGTCAAAGCCTTTTTGCAGGGGCGCATTCAGGAATCACAGAAAACTGACATCCATTACAGGTAATTTCAATCATTAATTAATGTACAGTACATCTTAATTACTGTACCTCATTCATACTCACTCTGGGCAATATAATCGCGCTTGAACAGATTAAATTATGCTGCATCCATGCAAACGAATTTAAAACCTATTTCACGACTAACGTCGAGTTTCCTGATACGCATTCATTTTTTAAACGCATAAATATTTTTTTTCGTTTTAAACGAATGTTATCACTTTGAAGTTGAATGAATATTAAAGCAAAAAAAAAAAAAATTCTAGGAGCATGGACGGGGAAGGCCAGTTCAATTGGAGGATGGTATTTTCCTTCGATTATCTCGAAGCAGAGCAGGTAATTGTGCATAAGGAAAGCAAGGGATTATGGAAAGACAGCAGAGAGCTGAAGGTTCCTCCTCGTCTGGTCTTGCAAATCTGGGATGACGACAAATTTTCCAGGGATGACCAACTCGGTAAAGAAGTCTGATCGTCATTCAAAATATTCTTTGTAATAATTGGAAATTTTATCGTAAAGGTGAGATTATTCTGGACCTGAATATGCTCATTCCTCCGGCGAAAAGTCAGGCGAAGTGTGGTCTGGAACAGCTGCCTGGTGTGAATTCATCCATTGATGATGCAGAAAACGGAGATACGACTGCAGTTAGCAAGTTCATAAATCTTTTCCAAGCCAAACGTTTGTCGGGGTTCTGGCCAGTGACCTACAAGAATAAAGACGGTGTCACTGAAGTGACCGTACGTTCAGAATGCGTAAAATAAAATTTTTTTAATCCAGCTAACTGTAATGAATTTATCTGCCTAGGGAAAACTGGAAATGGAACTCGAGATTTTAACGGAGGTCGAATCGTCGGAAAGACCAGCTGGTCTCGGTCGACACGAACCGAACGTCAATCCAAAGCTGGAGCCTCCGAAGTATGTATATACTGTATATTTTATCTAGTATGAATATAATTTTTAACTTTATCTGAATTTTTCCCAGGCGTCCAGACACGTCCTTCTTTTGGCTTACTTCGCCATGGAAATCTTTCAAGCATATTGTCTGGAGGCACAACAAATGGGCGATCATTACCTTTTTCGTTCTCGCCATTCTCGTTATTTTCGCCATATTATTCATTTACAACTTCCCGGTACGTACGGACATTTATAGCTATTGGTCCGACGAGAATGATTCATTCAAATTTAATTTTTTTCCCTCTGCAGGAAGCTTTGGTCCACCGACTCGTCTAGATGAGTCGGAAGAAGCGACAGCCAACAAATTTTTGTCGTTGTTGCTGGATGTAATGAAAGACGGCACACTTTATTTTTCTCGAATGCCGTCGAAAGTCATAACTTGAAAAGTTCGCGATTTTAATCATGCTTGCATCGCGGCTGCTTTTGTTTTTCGTCGAAATTTCATTGACTCGCGGAGATTTCATGCGCTCGAAGTATAACGAAGATTTGATCAATAAAACCCTTTTTTTTCTGTACGCTTGTTGATTTTATTCATTTTTTTCGACGTGTTATTGCGTCGAAGTAGTTATGAGGAATTCCTATTCTGCAGTATGATAGGAAGCGTTCAAATGCGTAAAAATATTACTGTACTGGTTTTCTTCGGATTTGATTTTTTTAAGGTTAAACTAGCAGGTGGTTGTTGATTTTATTTCGCCTTAGCTTCCATTATGCAAAATGAGACCATCGGTCACACGAAAACAGGAATCCCTGCGAAGGAGTAGATTTCCGACTATTATCGACCGGAATATACCGGAAAACATTCCAGAAAAATCTAATTTTTTCGTAAGCATGATCTGTGGAAATGCGTATGGGTTGTTCAGTTGCATCAGTTGTGCGGATGAGTGATTTTCAGAACAGTTAAGTTCTTTCATGAGTTCGTAATTTCGATGCGAAATGAATTCTGCGAATCGGAGAAATCAAGGAGTGCCGCGAATCGTCTTAACACCGGCTCCATCCGTGCACTATGCTCAGGAGTATGAACATTTCATGAAATTCCGGGAGAATCGGCGATTTCAGATCTGATTCATGTGATTCGCAGAATTTGCGAGGAAATCACTCCACCACAGGGGATGACCAACTTCAGGATAGCGGATTCATCTCCGCGAGCTTCAGACTTGAACACCTCATTTCGTGAGTAAAATCACTGTTACGGTAATTTTTAAATCAAAATTCCTTTCAGAATTTTTACGCGTTCCAGTGAGACCGGATGGATTCTCGGATCGGAAAACAGTTCAATTCCGATCTGACCTGGAAGCTAATCGTCGTTTAACGCCGCTGAAAAAAGGATTCAGATTTTTCTGCGCTCCTAGAGAACAATGCTTATTGAAATGGCTCTGCTGCATGTGTGTGCTGCTGCTGATCTCGATTGTTTTCATTGTTTATTTGTTTGGTGAGTCTTGATTCATTCGCCGTTTTAAAATTACCCTCCTTTCGAACAAAAAACTGGCTGCATGTTTCCTCTTAAGTGAACGGGGCCGTGCTGAGGCCCGCAGCTAAAATTGAGTTGGCAAAGGCGTTGTGGGACCACGGTAAGCATGAAAGAAACCTTTTGAGGTTCCCTTCATGCTGACCCTCTGAAGGATATCTCCGTTTTCGAATTGCAGCCATGGGAAGAACTGCCTTGCTACGTCGTCTAAGAACCGATAACACGATCGTTTGTCGCTTGGAAACTCTAGGACTGGGTATGAACGCGCTTTGGGAACAGGCATCCATTCCACCGGCGCAGATTTTCGCTCAGCAGTTCGCGGATGAGGTATGTTATCTCAAACTGCGTGCGAAATTTTAAATAAATTGCATCTCGCTGTGAACGCCAATTTGATGGACTAGCTACGAGTATATTTTTCAGTCTCGTATTTTTTCTATTTTTTTTTTCTGGAAGAATTTAACACTTGATTCTTTCTCACTAATAAATGTATGTGACGTTTTGAAAAAGACAATGAAATTGTGATAAAACAGGATTAAGCAGCATTCGAATTTAATCCTTCCGGTTTTTGTGGGGTTTCGGAGAATTCCTTTCACAGCCTGTGTAAGTTTCACTTTTTTTTTAAACCAGTTTACAAAAGGGATTCGTATGAAACTGGAATAACGCACGGTCAACATTCAAGTTATGTAAAGACAACGATTATAATCTCACATTTTCCCTCAACGCTAAAATGTATAGGAGGCCTATATAACAATCATGTTATCCCAGATCTGCCGAGGTAATGAATGAAAATTGTGCATGAAAATGGAAGCGGGATTAAAAATGTGTTTTTCATACTAAAAAAATTTTAAAAGAAAAAAGATAGCAATGGAAAGTTGATATCAGACTCTTATTGGTCCTTAAAATTTAAAAGCATTGTAGTCGTGCGCAATATGGGTACATATTCTGCGTATAAAGGAGTTATTAAATATCCCGAAAAGTCCTAGATTCGTAAAGAATGGGATCTAGTCGTCGCGCTTTAGACGTACGCCCGTTAATTGTCTTGAAAACTTAATACTTGACATTTAATTTGTCAAAATTTACAGGCACTCTCAACGCTTCGGTCACATAACGAATCGAGAGAATGGGACATCACCGAGGTTGCTGTCGACGGGTTCCTTCCCGAGAAGTCCGTCACGCACCTTCGCGTGTCGATGCGGCGGCCTCATTTTGTGCAACACGTCGTTGATCACCTGCAAGTAGTCTTGGCCGATATGGCTGTCACTGATGAATACGTCATACGGCCCGAAAGTGTAGAATGCGCAAGTAAGATGCGATTTAAATATATGTACTCGATATGTCTAGTTGAACAACCAACTTTAAGATAAACTGGTCTACGGAAGCAGCAGCTGAAGAGTAACTGCGACGTGGTACGATTCGTACTAGCTAAAAAGCTCGCTAGGTAGCAAATGTTACTCCATCGTAAAAAAGTTGAGCCTAAAGAATATAATAATATATTTCGCATTTCCAGTTGAAGGAGATCATATCTCGCTGCATTTGGTGGAAAAATGTTGATGAACTGGAGGTTGTTCACATGCATGCGGAATCGAACGGATTTTTGCGAGTCGCTGTAAGATTGAAGCTGCACAAAATTATGTCCCTTTCAACGATGAAAAACAACATCCTCGAAATTATTGCATACGCTCAGATCGGTCCTTTTGATATCGACATGAAGCATATGACGATATCTGGTAAGATTTTCACATTTATGACCTTTCATTTTCGTAAATATACATATTTTTTTCAGATAAAACCGCTTGGCAGAAAACGAACGATGTTCACGGGCGTCATTTGATGCTGCGAGAAATCGCGGGGAGAGATTTTTTGTCTTCGACTGATGCAGAAACTCCTACCTTTAATAAGCCGGATAACGAACATGAATTTAATAGAAAAGTTTGCATTGAATTTGAAGAATTGTTCAAGCTTATTCCATGAGATTCAATTTACAGGTCAATCCTGAGGAATACAAGTACGGGTCGCGAAATCGGCTGCAAAAATTGTATGCTACGACTCATCCTGAAAAACTCAGAACTATGGGTCACGAGAAAATGCTCGCACTGAACAGAAGACGAGGGGCAGTGGAAGTTCGTGATCATTCCTTTAAACGGGGGGATGTTCAGGAAAATCAATTTGAAACGCATAATCGAATCCTTGATCGTCGAAACGACAGCAGCGACTCGTAACTTTGAGGTAAGGGTCGGACCCTAGTCTAAAGTTCAGGAAAAGGGCTCGTTCTTATGGGCATACCTAACGACTTCGCTTGAAGGTATTAAAGGTCCTTTAATAATGGCGTATGTTACTTTTGTCTCTACTAATAATAGTGCATTGAGGGTGAAATTCCAAAGTTTATTTACAGATCGAAGATGACGACGATCCTCTGGCAGCCGAGATTTGGAGGCTTGCAGCAGAAGTACTTGCGGAGTTAGTGGAAACTATTTTTGCTCTAATAAATCTGCAAAAAATTGAATTTTTCTGAATTCTCTGGCTATGAATTTATGAACATTTTATTAGAAAAGTGGAAAAGTATGCGAAGACAAAGTCACAGCATAACCCGACAGGAAATGTGAGTTTCTAGCGTCATCTGGGTGCTGGAGAAATTGGACAACGTTGACCTTCTTTGGATTTATTCTAGTGATAATTGCGGCTAGCTTTGGGAATCATGGAAAAATTAAGGACTCCCTCTGGACAAAACTTGATTGAATTAGAATGAGGGATGAGTAAAATTACTTTTTAATCTTAAAATAATGAGTCGTTTCTTCATTTTCTTCCGAACTGTAACTGTAGTTGATTAATCGCACTGCAGGGATTAGCCCTAAAAATTTAAACACATTTCCATTTCCTCTTTCATTCAGACGCCGAACTAACTGGGTGACCGGGATTATCCCAAAATGTTCCTGCGTCGTACTTTTACTACTCCCGGAATTATGCGAATTTTTTTTTTTAGCTGTTTTAGCGTTTGAGTCGCTGTGTTCTTGGCAATTCAAGACAGAATTTACAAGAAGTTGTTTTCGCAGTCAGCAAGACATGCCGGAACAAGAAGATTCGAGATATTCGCCCGCATCAGGGAAAAGCTCTGATTCGCGCCAAAAGAGCGAAGATTTGGCACTTGGCTTCGGTTTAGAATCAAACATTGAAGAATTGGACACTGTTACGCCAGCTGCATTGTTTAAAAAATCTCGCCCAAAGAAATTGTCAGTCACTGACATCAGACTCCTTCTTTAGTTGTCTTTTTATATGAGGCTTTCTAGCAGTCTGCCAGAACCCAATCGTTTTAAGTTTCCGAATAGGTTAAGACGGTTCACAAGAGTACGAAGGAGGAAAAAGGGAATCTAGGTCTCCAACGAAGATGCCAATTCTGTTGCCTTCCCATTCCGATAGCAAACTACTGGCTGTATCAGATGTTAGCGAGAAACAGAACGACAGTGAATATTTCAGTGAGGAATTCTTCAGTATTTTTAAATGAATAATTTTTCTACTACTGTAATACGTACGGGGTTAAGTTCGAGGTGAGAACTTCCTATAAGTTTTTGTTCGGGTACTAAGCAGTGCACTCTAGGTTCGTCGTCTACTTCTCAGTCTAAAAGTTAGCCGTCGCTAATCATTTAACATAAAGAAGGATTTATTCGAGAATGCTTCTGAGCTCTCCGATGTTTCAGAATATCTCCGAAGAGCTTATTCAAATGCTTTAAAACTTCAAAACAACCAAATACCGGATGAGAACACGGAACTCGGAGAAGATCTTGACGGCGGTGGACTCGTTTTTTCGGAAGATGAAAACGTCAGTGTTTCTTATGACCTTTGGAATTCATGAGATAACCTCGATTTTTAAAATGTTCAGTCTGATCGTCGAAGTCTAACCTCTGCGAAGTCGGATTTGGAGAAAACTGAAATTCCGAGCAGAAGCGAAGGACATGTTCACGACCCCGATTCGAAGCCCAGGTTGTCCACAAAAGCCAAGCGGGATTTTCTCCCATCCATTTACGATGAAGAATCCGAAGCATTGGATTACCAGTTGACAGAGGCAGATTCTTCAGACTATCCACATCATTACGGAGTTCGTAGATTATTTTTTTTCCTGGACCTTACGTTATACATTCACGATTCATGGAAATTGTGAACAGGAGGAGTACAGCTTTTACGATTACGAGGACTCCGAAATTTCTGATGGATTCGTCGACACACTTTCGACGGATCTCCGGAAAATCGAGAATGCCAATCTTCAATATCAAATCCCTCTTACGAATACACGTCGGTTAATAACGAAGGGAAACGTTAACAGGCATGCCCCAATTCAAGCTCCACTCTTGAAGGATATTCAAAAACAAGCCCATGATTCGTCACGTGAGATCCAAGCAGCAGATGAAGAGTCAGATTTTCAATCGGCAGCGATTAGTAAATTGTATTTCTTCAATTTATTCGAGAATGCTTCTGAGCTCTCCGATGTTTCAGAATATCTCCGAAGAGCTTATTCAAATGCTTTAAAACTTCAAAACAACCAAATATCGGATGAGAACACGGAACTCGAAGAAGATCTTGACGGCGGTGGGCTCGTTTTTTCGGAAGATGAAAACGTCTGTGTTTCTTATGACCTCTGGAATTCATGAGATAACCTCGGTTTTTTAAATTTTTAGTCTGATCGTCAAAGTCTAACCTCTGCGAAGTCGGATTTGGAGAAAACTGAAATTCCGAGCAGAAGCGAAGGACATGTTCACGACCCCGATTCGAAGCCCAGGTTGCCCCCAAAAGCCAAGCGGGATTTTCTCCCATCCATTTACGATGAAGAATCCGAAGCATTGGATTACCAGTTGACAGAGGCAGATTCTTCAGACTATCCACATCATTACGGAGTTCGTAGATTTTTTTTTTTCCTGGACCTTACGTTATACATTCACGATTCATGGAAATTGTGAACAGGAGGAGTACAGCTTTTACGATTACGAGGACTCTGAAATTTCTGATGGATTCGTCGACACACTTTCGACGGATCTCCGGAAAATCGAGAATGCCAATCTTCAATATCAAATCCCTCTTACGAATACACGTCGGTTAATAACGAAGGGAAACGTTAACAGGCATTCAAATCCGCAACGAAATCGCCAACGAAAGCCAAGCTTTCAACGAAAAAAGTTGATGCTTCCAGCAGTCAAACCGCCTCGGAGAAAGTTCAAGGAATCCTCAGGCCCATCGAGAAAGTTCAAGAATTCCTTGGGTCAATCAAAAAAATTGAAAGATTCCTCACGTGAGAACTGGAGTGTTTCGCTTATCAATCTCGAATTGCAAGATTATCCAGTTTTGCATAGCTTCGATAATTTTTTTTAGGATCAAATTTGATGGACTTCGTCGCCGAATTCGTGAAGAAAAAGTTGAAACGCTTGAAAAAGCCTAAAACGTCAACGAAAGTGCGTAATTTGAGAAAATTTTCTTTAGATTTTCTTTTGTTTCAATTTAATTCCTCTCACCGAACAGGGACAAATTTCTTCGGAGAAATCATCCGCCCGAAGTGACGAAATCTTATTCCATAGTTCATCACCCTTGGATCCTACTAAAGTTCAAACCCTGCAAAGGGCCCAATTACCTTATTTAGCCACGTCTGCGACTGAATTTCTTCGGAGAAATCATCCGCCCGAAGTGACGAAATCTTATTCCATAGTTCATCACCCTTGGATCCTACTAAAGTTCAAACCCTGCAAAGGGCCCAATTACCTTATTTAGCCACGTCTGCGACTGGAAAAGGTATTCGAATTCTCGCTTTTCGAATTTAATCCTCATATTAAAATATATTCATTGCCTAAGGGAGGTGGGTTCAAACTGTACTAGACCAAATAAACCGTGAATACTGTATTTTCAAGACATACTAATGTCATTGCGAGTCTGTTTTCCGAAAATTGTGTTCTGTGAAGTGTCTGAATTATTACACTTGAAATTTTTTTTCGGGTCTAGCATTTCTTTTATTACTTCGTACACGCACTAATCATAATCCAGTAATTGACTACGTGACGATTTTTCTTCTGATTTTGAGCTTTTTCCTGAAGTATGTTTTCAATATCAGCAGATCCACCAACGATCGTCACTGACGTACCCTCAGGAAGTCATGCCATCATCATGAACCTGCTGGCTCGCAATGAAGAATTGGGGAGAACTATAAATGAAATCCTTATCCTATAATTTCTTCGGAGAAATCATCCGCCCGAAGTGACGAAATCTTATTCCATAGTTCATCACCCTTGGATCCTACTAAAGTTCAAACCCTGCAAAGGGCCCAATTACCTTATTTAGCCACGTCTGCGACTGAAAAAGGTATTCGAATTCTCGCTTTTCGAATGTAATCCTCATATTAAAAAATATTCATTGCCGAAGGGAGGTGGGTTCAAACTGTACTTGACCCAATAAAACGTGAATACTGTATTTTCAAGACTTACTAATGTCATTGCGAGTCTGTTTTCCTAAAATTGTGTTCTGTGAAGTGTCTGAATTATTACACTTGAAATTTTTTTCGGGTCTAGCATTTCTTTTATCACTTTGTACACGCACTAATCATAATCCAGTAATCGACTACGTGACGATTTTTCTTCTGATTTTGAGCTTTTTCCTGATGTATTTTTTCAATATCAGCAGATCCACCAACGATCGTCACTGACGTACCCTCAGGAAGTCATGCCATCATCATGAACCTGCTGGCTCGCAATGAAGAATTGGGGAGAACTATAAATGAAATCCTTATCCTATGCCTCTTGAAAGAGATGAAGAATCCCTCTGTTCCAGGAAAGCATCCAACTCTGGATCACATTGAATCTCGCGAATTGGTTCACAGTTCGGCATCCTCTCCACCAGGTATAGATGATCAAATATAGGCAAGGGAAATCACGCGAGTAGAGTCGACCCCTTTTGCGCATGAAGTGAAAGTTTAAAGCGGGAATTTTTTCAATCTCATATTTTCCGATTATTTTTTGAATTGTGATCTATTGTTATTTTGGACGATTTACGGGCTTTTAGTGCCTTGGACTGCAGAAAAAGCGCGAGCGCAGATTTCAACAGGACAGGGAACTTCGAGTGAAAAATTCGATCAATCAACAAAATCTGAATCTTCTCTTATCGGCAATAGTGGAAATGGAATCTCAATTAGCAACAATGACGTCGGTCCAACGGCTGCTAACGTTGAGCCACCAAAGGCAAGAATTTGATATGGGTTTATAAAAAAGTGCTGATTATGGACTGAAAGATTGTTTTACCTTTTAGCAAACCGTTGCATCGAGTAAAGGTGAAGACGTCAAAAGTATACCGCTGGGCATGTCAATTTTCGCCGAAGAAGAAGGAAATGATATATTGGTACAGGAAGTCAAGCCAATATTCGGAGCTCAAAAAAATCAAAATTTACCCGATGATAAGAAAGGTATGAACTTATTCACGGTCTAAAACAAAACTATTTCCCATAATTCACGAACGATTTTTTTTTCTCTTTTTTGCAGATTTTGTAGGTGACGTTCTGCGACAATCGAGAACCGGTGCAAAAGCGTTCCGCTTGGAATCGAAAACTGCTTTGAAGGAAAATGTTCTGAACAGGTTGACGCCTTTTTCGAGTGACTCCCATTATCATGGACTCGCGTAAGTTGGACGTGTGGAGATTTTTGTCAGAATTCTTCATTTTGTGCTGCCGATTTCATTTTCTGAAGCCCGGGGTTCACCAAGGACGAACTGATGCGGGCGGCACACCTTTTCCCGGGGTACATAGATCCACGTGTGCATCTTTCCGATTCATCTCCTGGAGAAGATCCGACGAATTTTGCATCATTTTCGGGTCCAATGTGGTCCGCTCAAAAACGCAGGAGCGGTGAGAAAAAAGATAACTTAACTTGGACAAAGTTTTCAACGGAATGTGAAATGAAAATTACTTAGCACCTTTTTTTTGCGCGACAATTACATCGAAATATTCACGGTGCGTAAAATGCTTACAGGTTTCTGGACTTTGCAGGCAAAAGGAAACGAATTTTCATGATAGCTGTATGTAAGCTTTTAAATAAAATTCGTCTACAATGCAACTGAACAACGGTGTTCAGGTAGAGTACAATACTTGGATTTCTTTCATGAGTCAGAATCCTGATTACTGTACTTGCTATAAGTGTTTCAGGAGACTGAGCAGGTAACCAAAGCATGAATGTATTCGGAAGGCTCTGTTTTAAAAAAAAAATTGAGGAAGTGTGTCATGCACGCATATACGTAAATTTTTATTCGTCAAAGAAATTGCTGGTGGACTTTCTACCACGAAATTCAAGGGACCATACAAAGTTGAAAGATAATTTATTTGTAGAAATTATCGTTGTAGAAATGTTCTCGTCTTTAAAATGAAGAGAGAACCCCATGGGACGGACAAATTTGTTTTATAAAAAATCGCTGTAAACAAGATTGCTGTTGTTGAGAGTCCACCTGTATAACTTTTAGGGACATAATCGATGTTTCGTAATTGATGGCCTTTCGTTTTCAATTCTGTACTGTGTACTGCAGGTTTTTCTCCTCAAACACTAATTTTAATTCCCAGACTTGAAGGATGGATCAATCTCTTCTGGAGTATCTGCCAAAGATCCGCTGTCATTATGGAAATCAATTCTATATATGAAGCAAATGTACTGCAGGTTTTTCTCCTCAAACACTAATTTTAATTCCCAGACTTGAAGGATGGATCAATCTCTTCTGGAGTATCTGCCAAAGATCCGCTGTCATTATGGAAATCAATTCTATATATGAAGCAACACGCGGCGAACATCTCTTATAAGCGCCTCAAAGCGAACGAAAGTGAGAAGGGCTTATCTTGAAATCCTAGATTATTCTTGATTTGACTCTGAAATTCCATCCCAGTTAATGCAAAAGCCGTGGGCGTTGATGAATGCCCGAATGGTGTCTGCGACTGTAGGTACCGAGTGAGTACTACTGGCACGTCATCTGGATGAAGGTCCCAAACGCTACCTTAAGGTCTAACGGGGTTACCTCTCCTACTTTGTCCCACGCGACAGTTACGACGCTGCCCGTTCATGTTCAAAATCGTAAGCTAAAAATTATAAAAGAAGTACTTCCTGAATTGAAAGCGCCGAAAGCATGAAGTAAAAATCGCCTAAAGAATTTACGTGTATGAATAAAAACATATCCGACAAAAGACTCAATGATTGAATAAATCATTTAAATCTGCTCGAGTTTTATGAAACGAACAAGAACTGAAGAAAAATTTTGGAATTTCCCTTTAGTTTATCTATAATTGTGATGCAGTACTAAATCAGTTTTGTGTTCATTTATGCGACTATATGAATAAGGATTTGATTCTCAATTTATCAATCAATATCCCGGATTTCGTTCTCATGAATGGGCCATCGAAACCATAATATTCAGGCGATCAAAATGTAATGCTTGGCATAATTTAAAATGGCTTCAGTTTAACTTTTCTTTGCACCAGAAGTCATCTTGATCTTGTTGAGGACTGCGGTCCAGAAAAATTTTCTCCCTCGTAAATTTTTTCCCCCCTTGCATTTCTTCTTCATAGTTTCATAGCATGTCACCAGTTAGATCAACATTTTGTGTTTGATAAAAAAAACGCTTCTCTGAAATCGCTTCAAATTGATCTCTCTTATTCTTTGACGAGTCCGAAAGTAATCATTCAACCAAATCTGCCTTTTTTTTCGCTGTTTCCAGATGGTTCCATTTCGGAAGAGTGTGATTCGCCCGGTTGTATACAATGCCCCCCTGAATACCACTATTGTCGAACAAGAGAGAATCTTAAAGACGGTGATTGCTTTTCGACGGCCGAAGACCTACTTCCAGGGTTTGCGATGGAATTCCAGATTGCCCCAATGGAGAGGATGAAACAGGGTGCGCTGTCAATGCTGCGACGGGCAAGTACAAGTTTTAGCATTCGATTTTTAATATTTTCTTCAGCTTCCTGAATTGAAAGCGCCGAAAGCATGAAGTAAAAATCGCCTGAAGAATTTACGTGTATGAATAAAAACATATCCGACAAAAGACTCAATGATTGAATAAATCATTTAAATCTGCTCGAGTTTTATGAAATGAACAGGAACTGAAAAAAATTTTTGGAATCTCCCTAGTTTATCAAATTGTGAAGCAGTACTAAATCAGGTTTTGTGTTCATTTATGCGACTATATGAATAAGGATTTGATTCTCAATTCATCAATCAATATCCCGAATTTCGTTCTCATGAATGGGCCATCGAAACCATAATATTCAGGCGATCAAAATTTAATGCTTGGCATAATTTAAAATGGCTTCAGTTTAACTTTTCTTTGCACCAGAAGTCATCTTGATCTTGTTGAGGACTGTGGTCCAGAAAAATTTTCTCCCTCTTAAATTTTTTCCCCCCGTGCAATTCTTCTTCATAGTTTCCTAGCATGTCACCAGTTAGATCAACATTTTGTGTTTGATAAAAAAACGCTTCTCTGAAATCGCTTCGAATTGATCTCTATTCTTTGACGAGTCCGAAAGTAATCATTCAACCAAATCTGCCTTTTTCAGCGACAAAGGTCTACCAAGGTAAAGCCTTCTCACACTAAGCGGGCCAACATATGTTACGGGGGGACTTATGGTGATAACAGCTTGTTCTCTCTTAGAATTTCTGCCACTAACGAAAAGCTGCCGGCATTTTTGCAACGGAAAGACGACTTGTGCTAGTGGAAGAGACGAGCATGATTCCCTGTGTACTAAAGTAGACGATGGCACAGCACCATCTAGCGTAAGTTGCCTTAAATATTGAAATACAATATTTTGATTTTTAAACTTCTCGTCACTGTCATATCAGGGATCCCTAGGAGTGAGGTCGAGTGGGTTACTGTACTACAAGTTTCGAGGCGTCTGGAGACTCGTTTGCGATTCTCCGAGCCTGAAGAAAGATACTTGGGCTGACAGGGTTTGCGTCGCTACAGTTGGATCTCAAAGAGGGTCAGCGCTATTAAATTTTATTTCATTTGCGGGTTTTCCAAAATTCCGATCACATTTTTTCCAGCACGGCGAAATGGAGTATCATGCCGGTGGTCCGGAGTGTCAGCGGACTGTACGCAATTTTCGATGGATCTGGATGGAAAACGGATGCGAACTGCAAGACAAACGTCATCAATATCATATGTTCTTTAAATTCGACACCAAAGTAAGTCTTAGGCAACTGGGTTTCCAAAGCTGCACGGCGATGTTCACTCAACGGACGAGTTTTAAACCACCTTCATAAATGGTGTATTCGTAATCTTTACTTTTTTTATAAAAGCGTACATTGAAGATCTAATGGGCTCAAAAAGGAAAATGAACAAGAATTATTTTAGGCATACTGTACCACGTCAGTAAATTCACTTGAAGACTTGGGGAAATCATTTTTCAAAGGTCTACGCATAAAAATCTATTAGGAAAAGATTTCCTCCGCTTGATAAGGATAATGGGGAACCTCTTCATACCGTATTAATATTTCTGAAAAACTCAACTTTTATGAAACGTAAATTTCTGCAGTTCCAAAACGTCATAAAAAAGGACAAAAAGTTGGGAGAAAAAAATGGATAAAAAACGGATGTTCTTTGAAAATTAATTTTAAAATATTTTCCCCATTTCTGATCATCTTGAGCTCTGCTTTTATAATTTCAAGAAAACCTTACAGTAATGGTTTCTATTGGCAAGCAAGCTGTCTTCTAATGGTGAAAGGAAGAGATCGGAATTTGAGTTTCTTCATGTATTTTTCGAATTTAATCACGAGTTATTCGCGATTCGGTTGATTTCATATTCAAAATTCTCCCTCCCCCTGTTCAAACCAAAAGACTGCATGCCCGTTGAATTGAATTCTCAAATCTGTTTTATTCCTGATAAAATAAGCAACAAAAGAAGTTGAACCTTCAAGCCAATTCTATATTAATATGAATGCAAAATCGGTATTTGTAAGAAAGCGGCACTAAGTATTTGAACGTCTGTCCCTATTGTGAAGAAAACATTTTACCTCGATAAAAAAAAAGTATCGACCGCGGGTTTGGAGCTTCCGAAACCTAAGGTAAACGAATTAACTGGGGTACAGAGGAGGTTTTTTACCTACGTCATTTTGACTTGTAGAGAGGAGCCGTTCTAGCAGCTGTATTATCGAGAAGGGTGTCGAAAATAATGATGCACGGATTGTTGGCGGACATGCGGCCTCTGAGCGATCGATGAATTGGATAGTCTCCTTGACTCACAATGGATAACAGAAAACAAGGCCGTGCGAAGAGTTAGAGTTAACCTAGCAGTGCCGTCGCGTAACGAAAACGCACACCCGTTTAAGGTCCAAACAAGCAAGCCAGCTTCAAGGGCAGATTTGCTTCAGAGAGGTGCGATACTCAGTAACTCCACGCCAATTTACCGTGTACTGTACAGTATTTCAGTAAGCTAGAGACACAAAAATAAGTAATCTAGAGAATTAGCATCACCGGAAACGAAGTTTCAGGGGAAAATTCAAAATACTGTACATAAGTTGTGTTCATTTACCCTACTTCAACTGCGAAATGAAACATGGGAGCCCAAGGAAGACGCTTGTTGTCCACGACGCTGGTTTCATATCATGACTTTGTTTGGAGGGGTACGGGTTTTCATGGCACTGAAATCTAGGGGCAGCCAAAAAAAGTTTCCGTCTTCGAAAAAAGTATCAACTTATATACAATCCCCATGGGACCCATATGCTTTCCATGATAAATTGTACAGGTATGAAACTAAATACTGTATTCATATATAAGCCTGCAAAGATTTTGAAGGCATTACCATGTCGTCATTTGAGGTGAAGCCCACGAAGGGTGTCCGACAAATTCTTGCTCTTTTCAGTCCTTGAAAGACGGTTTTATTAAGTAATTCGCGAGAAATTTAGGAAACCTCTGCATAGAAGTCAACAGCTTTTCTCGGAACTTCCAAAATTTATTTTGTTCAAAGTAGTTATTACGGCATTTATGATTGTATTTTACTACAGAACGTCTTTCGTATAAAAATNCTTCGAATTGATCTCTATTCTTTGACGAGTCCGAAAGTAATCATTCAACCAAATCTGCCTTTTTCTCGCTGTTTCCAGATGGTTCCATTTCGGAAGAGTGTGATTCGCCCGGTTGTATACAATGCCCCCCTGAATACCACTATTGTCGAACAAGAGAGAATCTTAAAGACGGTGATTGCTTTTCGACGGCCGATTTTTGCAACGGAAAGACGACTTGTGCTAGTGGAAGAGACGAGCATGATTCCCTGTGTACTAAAGTAGACGATGGCACAGCACCATCTAGCGTAAGTTGCCTTAAATATTGAAATACAATATTTTGATTTTTAAACTTCTCGTCACTGTCATATCAGGGATCCCTAGGAGTGAGGTCGAGTGGGTTACTGTACTACAAGTTTCGAGGCGTCTGGAGACTCGTTTGCGATTCTCCGAGCCTGAAGAAAGATACTTGGGCTGACAGGGTTTGCGTCGCTACAGTTGGATCTCAAAGAGGGTCAGCGCTATTAAATTTTATTTCATTTGCGGGTTTTCCAAAATTCCGATCACATTTTTTCCAGCACGGCGAAATGGAGTATCATGCCGGTGGTCCGGAGTGTCAGCGGACTGTACGCAATTTTCGATGGATCTGGATGGAAAACGGATGCGAACTGCAAGACAAACGTCATCAATATCATATGTTCTTTAAATTCCTGTGGTTTCATTCAGAATCCGTTGACCCAAAGGTTTCGACGTGCCGCTACAAGTGAGTTGCCTGCTCAAAATTTGGTGGAAGTATTTACCACATAAGCATTAGAAATGAAAAAAATATTTTCGCATGATTGAAGATCTAATGGGCTCAAGAAGGAAAATGAACAAGTATTATTTTAGGCATACTGTACCACGTCAGTAAATTCACTTGAAGACTTGGGGAAGTCATTTTTCAAAGGTCTACGCATAAAAATCTATTAGGAAAAGATTTCCTCCGCTTGATAAGGATAACGGGGAACCTCTTCATACCGTATTAATATTTCTGAAAAACTCAACTTTTATGAAACGTAAATTTCTGCAGTTCCAAAGCGTCATAAAAAAGGACAAAAAGTTGGGAGAAAAAAACGGATAAAAAACGGATGTTCTTTGAAAATTAATTTTAAAATATTTTCCCCATTTCTGATCATCTTGAGCTCTGCTTTTATAATTTCAAGAAAACCTTACAGTAATGGTTTCTATTGGCAAGCAAGCTGTCTTCTAATGGTGAAAGGAAGAGATCGGAATTTGTGAGTTTCTTCATGTATTTTTCAAATTTAATCACGAGTTATTCGCGATTCGGTTGATTTCATATTCAAAATTCTCCCTCCCCCTGTTCAAACCAAAAGACTGCATGCCCGTTGAATTAAATTCTCAAATCTGTTTTATTCCTGATAAAATAAGCAACAAAAGAAGTTGAACCTTCAAGCCAATTCTATATTAATATGAATGTAAAATCGGTATTTGTAAGAAAGCGGCACTAAGTATTTGAACGTCTGTCCCTATTGTGAAGAAAACATTTTACCTCGATTTTTTTTTCATAGCTGGCGCCCAAACCTCGAAGGCTTTGGATTCCATTTGCTTAATTGACCCCATGTCTCCTCCAAAAAATGGATGCAGTAAAACTGAACATCTCTCCTCGGCAAGATCGTCGACAATTATCGAGAAGGGTGTCGAAAATAATGATGCACGGATTGTTGGCGGACATGCGGCCTCTGAGCGATCGATGAATTGGATAGTCTCCTTGACTCACAATGGAATTGTCTTTTGTTCCGGCACGCTTCTCAATCTCAATTGGATCGTCACGGCAGCGCATTGCTTTTGCGTGTGGGCAAATTCCAGGTTTGTTCGTTCGGTCGAAGTTCCCGTCTAAACGAAGTCTCTCCGGCGATACTCAGTAACTCCACACCAATTTACCGTGTACTGTACAGTATTTCAGTAAGCTACAGACACAAAACTAAGTAATCTAGAGAATTAGCATCACCGGAAACGAAGTTTCAGGGAGAAATTCAAAATACTGTACATAAGTTGTGTTCATTTACCCTACTTCAACTGCGAAATGAAACATGGGAGCCCAAGGAAGACGCTTGTTGTCCACGACGCTGGTTTCATATCATGACTTTATTTGGAGGGGTACGGGTTTTCATGACACTGAAATCTAGGGGCAGCCAAAAAAAGTTTCTGGCTTCGAAAAAAGTATCAACTTATTTACAATCCCCATAGGACCCATATGCTTTCCATGATAAATCGTACGGGTATTGGAATGAAACTAAATACTGTATTCATATATAAGCCTGCAAAGATTTTGAAGGCATTACCATGTCGTCATTTGAGGTGAAGCCCACGAAGGGTGTCCGACAAATTCTTGCTCTTTTCAGTCCTCCTTTCTGCCAAAATAATTCATTAAGCGCTCTTTAAATCCTTTGGAGACGTATCTTCAGTTGTCGAAAAGAGCCTTGAAGGTTTTAAATAAAACAAGTTTCATCAATAATGCCGTAAATACTAACATATTTACTACAGAACGTCTTTCGTATAAAAATTGGTCGCAAAAAGAGGCAGCAAACTTCGAAAATATGAGCGGAACCTCTGTAGAATGAATGTGTTTCACCAAAATATTTTCTTTCACTGAGAAATTTGCGGTATTTGAATTCTTCCCCCTAGAACGAAGATCGATTATAAAACCGTCTTTTACCAAGCTTGCGGTGGAATGACGCGCTTAACGTCGGCAAATCCGGACATGCAGTGTCGGGATGTGAGCATAATTGTTGTCCACGAACTATACCTAGGGATGAAACAGGCGGTCCAAGTAAGTCTTTCCGAGAAAATTTAGATTTTTTGATAATTCAAATTTTCCACAGCCCTTTCACAATGATATTGCATTGGCGAAAGTGTCGAAGCCGTTTTACTTCAATCTAATGCGACAACTTTGAAGGTTAAGGCTGTCAGGTCTGCAAACAAGTTGACATACTTGGAACTGGAAAGCGAGGTTTCATCCTTGCACACAACTCGGCCTGCTTGTCTTCCTCCGTAAGAAATTATCTTGAAAAAAAAAAAAATTTTTGATACTTACATGGACTGTGACCGATCAAGATACATTTGTATTCACTGTGCAGAATAGTTTTTGAAACAATCAGCGAAAATGACCCTAACTCTATAACTAATATCTAAAACGAATCTGAAATTCTAATTTGGGCACAAAAAATCTAGGCAAACTTGAGTTCTGAACTGAAGAAAAGCGGCAATCAGTGATATCAGTACCCTACATTCAATATGGAACATTACTAACCGATAGAATACGTATAAATGCATGCATATAACCAGATTCCCTCTCAATTTATTTAACTTCATTGGTGGATATGAAATAATTTTGGTTGTCAACTCAACTCCTTATTTAACGAAAAAAATCACTTTGAATAAAAGGTCGTCACGCTTCTGGCGGTTGGGCGCACCACCAATTTGCATTGGCATTGTCTCGTTTCAGAAAACCCTTATTCTCTTCGAGCTTTCCATGGACGTGCGAAGCTTGGGCACTCGATGCAATGACGAGTGTGCTTGTGTCCCCCTGTTCCGAACCCTTCAATGCCTCAGATCCCAGATGAAACAGGCGGTCCAAGTAAGTCTTTCCGAGAAAATTTAGATTTTTTGATAATTCAAATTTTCCACAGCCCTTTCACAATGATATTGCATTGGCGAAAGTGTCGAAGCCGTTTTACTTCAATCTGGCAGTCAATCGTTTGTGCCTTCCGGAACGCGGGGTCCCTATTCCTGACGGGTTGGAATGTATAGTAGCTGGATGGGGAGCTCTCAGTTTTGGCAACCAAGAGAAGCGTATGTATTTTGCTCACTTCTGGGCCATTTGACAATCACTTGAAAAGTTACGGTACCCCCTGTTCAGTAAAAGTGCAATACAAACGGGTTATAATTGCTCGAACTTGGGGCATATGACCGTTGCTTCCTGTATTTATTTCCCAAAATTTTCCATCGCAAGTGTAAATGATTCCGATCGTGGATTCGAACAGAAATTTTCGATTACGATGGTTTTAGATAGAACTTGTATCTGATTTAATCCAACTGCTGCATCACGTCGCCTATGATTTCGAATAAATTTTGAACGACATTATTACTCCAATGAAAAATTGAAAGAAATAATATGCCGACGAAACCCTACACTCGTATGTCGGCTTCCATTACAAGCGAGAATGAAGGATTACGTCGTGCTTTTTTGTAGCTTCGCTTTAACAGTTTTTATATCCTTAATTTTTGTGCCTTTACACAAGGAAGTTTCCTAAGGACTTGTAGCAAAAGACGTTGTTGTTCAGTTGTCAGAAAACCCTAATTCATGACCCATGCTGCTTAAATATTCTTCATAGCCGATCATTTACAAGAAGTGACTGTTCCTTTGATGGCAAACTGTGCGGAATATATGCCGGATGTTCAGAAAAACATAGACAAACATTTCTGTGCCGGCTACAGAGAAGGCGGAAAAGATTCATGCACTGGAGACTCGGGTGGCCCTCTAGTTTGTCCGTGAGTGAACAGAAAATGCATCAGTTCTAAAATATTTCAAGCTGTATGTGTTATTGACGAATTTATAGGCACCACAGTGGTTACGTTCTTTTCGGAATTACTAGCTATGGCAAATCTTGTGCTGGTCCAAAGTCGCCGGGCGTTTACACTAGGGTGTCCAACTATGTGGATTGGATTATGGGTGTGATTGTGGCTGACGGTGAGTGCAGCTATCTATTCTAAATTTCGAATACTTTTTAGTTAGATGGATATGATACATTTTGAATGCAATTTTAAATGCAATTTCTGATTGGCCATTACTTGAAAAATTGAAAGTAAAATTTTCTACAGGCCGAAGTATTCTCATCAATTGTAATGCCGGCAGTTAATTTTTGTCCCTTTTTGGAATAGTGACAATCAGCGAACATACCTAAGTTGTAAATACTGTTGAGACATTTTTTTGAGTTTTCAAATGCCGACATTTCTGGTAAAATCATTTACATGGATTCTCGTCCACTTATTCAAAAGACAATTATTTTCTGATTAAACTTTCATCTAATTGCCGTTTATCTAAAACGACAATTTTTTATACAATCTATTTTTTTCAATTTATTCTAAAACGTCGTAGCAGATGGGAAAAGTCTTTCCGATTCGGATTTATTCTGAATTTTATCGATCTGTGCTTCGAATTTTTTAACAATTCGAGTGATGATACATGCAACGGCTGTAAAATAAAAAGGGGATGCTCTGAACCTTAGGATACTGCATAGAAATGTTTTACAAGGTTACGCAAATTTTCTCTGTAGCATGGATTGGCGATAGAAAGGTCAGCTATTCATGATCCGATGCGTAAAAATTGCTGAATATTATTGCTCATGGGCTCGTGTAAATTTTTCAGGTAAAGGGAAATACGAGAATTCAAATTACTACTCATCGAAGCAATGCAAAGGATTAAGATGCTCAACCGGACGCTGCATCAAAACGAAGGACATCTGCGACGGCCAGTACCAATGCCCTGCTGATGGAGAAGATGAAAATCAGATGTGCGACACGCGGACTTCTCTAAACGATAAGACGGATGCTGACGATCAAATTTTTGGGTCCAGTCACGACGCGAAATCTTCTCTAGGTTCCCGATGCTCACCTGGATTCCGTCCATGCGACTCGTATGTCCAATGTTAACTTCAGAATTGATTAATAATCGTAATAATTATATTCGTTCCAGCGTTGACGGTGGGTGTGTGTCAGAATTACAGCTCTGTGACAGGAAAATGGACTGCTCGGATAAATCCGACGAGTCTCGTTGCACTTACTCCGATTACATGACCAAGTCGACGGATTTTCAAAAATATGTTTGTGACGGCATTCAAGATACCCCGGACGGTTCGGACGAAGTTGGCTGCTCGTGTAATTTTTCAAGTTTATTTCAAAAGGGTTTATTTCAAATAATTTAGCTCTGGTCAATATACGTTTAAACAGACAGTTGCCAGGAAGGGCAGAAAATATGTCCGTGGTCTCGGAGCCAGCAACCGAAGTGCGTAAACGTCACGGATCTTATCAACAGGAAAGCTGTAAACTGTCCAGGGAACCCATCGTGGCCTTACAGATGTAACTGCTGCAGCTTCAGATGAAATATCTTTCGTGAAATTAATGATTTCCTTATTTTGTAGTTGTCAATTCTCCTGGAATTCCTGTAAGAGTTGATGCTTTCGGGAATCCTTTAAGAGAGCGTTACGGAATCGTTCTTGAAAACGTTTATCCGTATTCTAACAAGGATTGGTTTCCGAAGTGCTTCGCAAAGGTTTCGCAGGAAGTCGCGGACTTATTGTGCAAGGAAATGGGTTACTAGTGTGTATGATGACGACCGGGGGATTTATGGGGATTATTTAGAAAACTTTCTATTTTCAGTTCTGCGGAAGGGTTTGAACCAGTTGCCGGTATTAACGGGGACACTTGCAATCCGGGATTTTCGTTCCTAAATCTCGGGTGTTCGTCTCTTTCATGCGGCATTCGGGAAATTCATGCTGTCGATTCTCCACTTCCGGGGTCATGCCCATGGTCTGGAAATCTGTTCCTGGATGGACAGTTCGCGGGTTCAGTTGGATTGATCGCACCTGCGGTTGCAGTGGCACATGTTCATGCAATCGCATCCGTGGAGTGCGTCGAAATCTTAGTGAATATACAGTGGAGACAAAAATTATGCCTGCAATCTTTTTTTTTTTAGCTGGTCAAATATTTCTGCTGTTGTGTATGTCGGAATGACAGAGGATACGTTGTTTCTTCCGAAACATGCGACAACTTTGAAGGTTAAGGCTGTCAGGTCTGCAAACAAGTTGACATACTTGGAACTGGAAAGCGAGGTTTCATCCTTGCACACAACTCGGCCTGCTTGTCTTCCTCCGTAAGAAATTATCTTGAAAAAAAATCAATGCTTGATACTTACATGGACTGCGACCGATCAAGATACATTTTTATTCACTGTGCAGAATAGTTTTTGAAACAAATCAGCGAAACTGACCCTAACTCTAAAACCAATACCTAAAACGAATCTGAAATTCTAATTTGGGCAAAAAAATCTAGGCAAACTTGAGTTCTGAACTGAAGGAAAGCGGCAATCGGTGATATCAGTACCCTACATTCAATATGAAACATTACTAATCGATAGAATACGTATAAATGCATGCATATAACCAGACTCCCTCTCAATTTATTTAACTTCATTGGTGGATATGAAATAATTTTGGTTGACAGTCAACTCAACTCCTTATTTAACGAAGAAAATCACTTTGAATAAAAGGTCGTCACGCTTCTGGCGGTTGGGCTCACCACCAATTTGCATTGGTATTGTCTCGTTTCAGAAAACCCTTATTCTCTTCGAGCTTTCCATGGACGTGCGAAGCTTGGGCACTCGATGCAATGACGAGTGTGCTTGTGTCCCCCTGTTCCGAACCCTTCAATGCCTCAGATCCCCACTTATGCGGACAACTGACAGGAGTGGAGCCGCCCAATTGTCTCGTAAGTAATTATAATTACAAACTCTTCAGTGACACTAATTATTCTCCGGCCTTTCTTGTAGCACTTTCTCACTGGAACAGTTTACTGCCCTTTCGAAAATCGCTGGTATGCGATCGGCGTGTTTAAAAGGGACTACTGTGACATGCAAAAGGTCTTCGATCTAGAACTGATCACGCCACAGAACATGGGAGCAGAAAAAGTGGTAGTGAAAACACCCGAGTGTGAAAACGGCGGACGCAGAAATCGATTGGGAAAATGCATAAAAGCGGACCTTCTTTGCGATGGAAAACCCGACAGCAATGATGGGATTGATGAAATTGATTGCGCTGCAAAAGCTCGGACTGATTTCAGCTTGCTCGACTCCGAAGGTAATCGTCGCATTACAAAAACTAGTTAGTGATACCAGCAGTAGTTTGTCACCAGCAATAGTTTTACTTTCGAATTTCTTCATTCTAATTACAGCTTTGATCACAATGAATGGTATCCATAATAGAGCAAGTATGAATCGATTGAAAGATTCCCCGGAATATAATACAGATTCACAACTTGAAAAAAAAAAAGTGTCGTCAGCATTGATATCTTGAAGAAAAATAAAGAGAATTCCTTGGTTTGAAAACTTGATACCAAGGTGATTTTTACTTTTTGCAGGCTGCGAACCTGGACTAATTCAGTGTTCTGATGGCTCATGCGTCAGAAACATTAGGGGATGCCCTGGGATTGTTGAATGCAAGTACAGTAAAAATGATACAGAATGCGTGATTATCTGTGGCTCCGGGGAATATTTCAAGGACCCAACAAAACTTTGCGACGGAAAAATCGATTGTATTGATGGGAGTGACGAAATCATTCCGAAATGCGGATGTGGAGAAAATCAATTCCGCTGCATTGGGTGAGCAAAGCATTTTTTGAATCCGGAGTTTAAAAAAATTGTCAGGGTAGGGAAGATGGAGAATTTTTTTTTTATCCATAGAAGACCGCAGAGGAAATTCAAAAGTTATGAAATAATTTCTAACTAAAAACTGAGACGATTTAAAATTTGTTCTCACCATTATAGTCTAGCATTAATTCTACCTAGTATATTCGCCACTTTTTTTCTGTTCTGTTAAGTTTCCAACTTTTTACGCGGACAATTGTTGCCCATTGTGATTCTTTTTCCTCGCGGAGCTTCCACTTCCAGGGGAAAAATTACGAAAGTTGGAATGCCTAGTGTTGCCAAATAATTTCCTATGCTAGTGAATTTTTTCCAAATTTTCCCTCAGCGGTATTTTCTCTACTAGGATATATTTTCAACCGAATATCTTTTCTACCCTCTGACATTTAGGTATGACGCAGAATCACACAAATGATCTTGAGGTCATACTTTTAATCTTTTCATGAAATTCTTCCAGGAATGTCAACGGAGAGCCGCAGTGTATTAATATGACGAATTTTTGCGACGCCGATGTGAATTGCAAAGATGCTTCTGATGAGCTACATTGCATGGCTCTTTCGCTGGATGGGATAGTACGCACAAATTCTATGGAGTACGTGTGAACTAATGGCAGTGTCAATTCGTAAAAATTCCTTGGGTTTAATGAGCCAAATAATTCCAGGTTACCTGCTGTCAGACTGTCTTCTGGATACGTCTTCAGTTATCAAGGAAGTTGGTCGCCTCATCCGGTTGACCGTTTATCGAATGAAAGTACGCGCGACGCCGCGTGTGTCATAAACCCTAAGCTAGCAGTACACAGCAAAAGATAGCGCGGAACAGGTCGACGAGGGTGTGTACAACCACTGCCGCGTTTTTATGGAAACCTCACACGGTAAGATCCCACAATATTAATTAGAGCGGTTGATGATTGGGGAGCGTTCAGTTCGAAGGGCGGGTTATCTATGTTTAAAGCTCAACGAAATTCAGCGAGTGATATGGAAAATCGGCTTTTCTACGATGTTATCCTCGGTTATCTCAGTTATCGAAATGCTGTGTTTGTCCCTCAACGGATATTCCGTCGCGCGATTAATTTTCCCGATGGTTCGTGTAAATAAAATTCAGCTGGAAACCTGGAATTAACTGAAGAAACGTGTGAACTACCTGAACAAAGACGAGAAGTGCGCCTTAAAACCCTTCCATTTCCACAAGAACTATGCAAGACGCTTGCAAATGCGAGTTAAAAAAAAGAACGTCCATGATAAGCAATTTTCTCTAAGAAATGTATCTTCACGATATTTCAGTTCCTGTAAACATAAGCTTGTGTTTAAAAAAAAAAAGACACTCACCATCAATGTTTCTTCCTCCTCTAACTTGAGCTGGTTTTCCTCTGGGATACCGTAAAATTCAAAGCCACGATGAAGATAAACCTGAACTCTCATTTCTCACCCAACACAACTTCATTCAGCGAATCTCATCCCTTTGAACTCTTCATTATTCGTAGCTGCTGTGACTTGTACATTTGTAGACCACTGTTGTATGGGGGATTTCCCTCTTTTTGTCATGGCGATACCAGCTGACATTCCAATCCCATTCATCCCATCTGCTTTTCCAGCAGGAATGCCAGCTGAGAGGATGGACAGATGTAAGGATTATCCCATTATCAGACTCCAGAACACTTGCGAGACTTGGAATACCTGTTTAGAAAGAGATAAAATATCTCAAAATACTGTGCCCATATACTGGCGCAGGGTAGCGCAGTTATCGAAATCTACCCACCGGAAGACCTTTCAACTTCAAGTACGCACTAAATCCCAGATAGATGCCGCTCTAAAGCAAAACTACCGAAAAGGGAATAAAAGTGCGCGAATAAATGTGCAGATTGGTTTTATGCAGTACAACGAAGAGAAAAACATTCCTTGGTTGAGTTGGTTGAAAATAGCCTTAATAGGGGCTGAATGCAGGCATGAATTTGCGAATGAAGCATTTTATTCTAGAGGATTTAATATCAGTCATAATTTTAGACTTAATTTTAGAGAATTTTATTTTAGGAGGAATTTTGAAGTATTTAATTATTGGCATACTTAGTATAAGGATTGGCCTGTTGTTCAAAACAAATCCATTGATCTGAACATTGCTGCATTGATATTCGAAAGATGAAGGTTTGAAAAGTAAAGATCGGATTAATTGTTTTGGAGGTAACTAATCCTAGTTTCTCAAAGCGCAGGCTAAACAATCGATTCCCACTGTCTGGGTAATTTTATTATCAAATAGATTACCGCATTCCTGCATATTAATTGTCCTGTGGTGAAAGTGTATGCGTATGATCTGTCAAAGCCAGCTTATTCTAAATTCAAAAATGTGTTTCAGAGAATAATTTTAGCGTTAGTCGGCTTCGAATTTTTCAATGGAGGTGTATTCCGCGCTCCTCTTAACTCCTCCTACTCAGACTTAGACTCGGGCCAGATACGAGAAACCTGGGCTTTGACGGCTCCCTTGGACTGCATCTTTCGCGTGTAGTGTGGTGAGCTTCGCGGTACGTGCGTTTCACTGTTGCAAGTGTGAATAGCTTCGCAGAGATGAAGATAGCGCTTGTTCGGGTTCTTGTGAAGCAAATGGTGAGTTTGGTTACCTTGACATTGTCCAACTATGAGAACATACCCTCTTTCCTCGATAACGTGGATTATTGGGACCCTCTAAATTTGGGTCTAGTGTACTTTAGCGATGCCAGTGAAACGCACTGTGCGCGTCGAAGCGCGCGGCCATTAATTTTACCGTGCTGCCCTCTATGTACCCTTGCAAAGACGTGGCGTCGTTTTTACTGAGCCGCGTCGTTACCCTCCACTAATAAGGCCACAATGAAACTTTTTTTAAAATCCTATCCCTCCTATCAAGTAGGATGCGTACACTTCAACGACGCGCACAGTTCGTTTCACTGGCATCGCTAAAGTACACTAGACCCCTAAATTTTAGGTGGGTATGTTTGACCCATAAAGAAACTGAAGCAAGCGAGGACTATGCGTCTATATTGGAGCGTTGACGATGAATGTTCATTTCGTTTATTCGTAAGAAGAGTGTAGAAACGAAAACTCGTTTCCGAAACAAGCTACGCTTCGGGAAAATGGGTTAATTCACAGTAATGTAGAAGGAAACCACGTTTCACGTCTGGTTTTCTTTTTTTTGAAGTGGCTTGCGGAAGTTTTAGGAGATGCTTGAAATGCCGATTCTCGCGTTTTACTTCCTAAAAGCAAGAACCGAGTGTATTACCAATATTCATGTTATTACGCGTCGACGAATTTCCCAATTCTGAGGTAATTCTGCGCAAATGTGCCGACTTCAGCTCTATACCTGAGCAAAAGTACACTTCAACCCCTCATACTGTGCAATTTAACTCGTTTTATTGTATGTAGTACTACTTGATGACAAATAAATCAGTCGTTGCTTGGAAAATTGATACCATTGTAGCTATTTGAAGATGTGCTTAATGGAACTGCCCTCGTGCAAATGCCGCTTCTGCAGAAAACAGGCAGAATTTTCTGCCTATTTGACTTGGAGATTGGGGTGTTATGGAGGAGAAAACTGAATGCTACTTCTGAGCCGAAATGATTTTTGAATGTCCGCGTTGCCATCAGTTTTTTTTTTCCCTAAAGATGCAACGGCGTCTAAACAACTTTCATTCAAAACCGGTAAAATTTTGAGAGTCCCACTTTATCTGCGATGCGGAACACTACACGCATCGGATCACACTCAAGCACTTATGTGTCCACAGGAATCCTGAGTAAATCAAGATAAACCAATAGAATCAAGCAGTTTTATTGTCCGATAAAATTTATGGGCAGCAGTTTTTGCAGAATAATTCGCTTTGAACAAGTCACGCGTTGTGATCATGAAATGCTGAACCATATGAGCGCTAATTCATGCATTTTCTCAGTTCTCTGGCATCGAACGGATCACACTGAAAGTTGAATGTCAACTACGTCATAATATATTACAGTAATGTTCCACGAACGTATGTGTAAAAAATAAGAATAAGTTTGGCTGACTGATTTATACAGTATTTGGGATTCGATCGTCATGTGTCGTTTTCTATCGCGCCTTGTCCAGCTGCTCCCACACATGTTGGTGACGGCGCAAAAATACCTTTGGAGTGTGCCATTCTAGGGTGTTATAATTAATCTCTGGTTGATGATTGGGGAGCGTTCAGTTCGAAGGGCGGGTTATCTATGTTTAAAGCTCAACGAAATTCAGCGAGTGATATGGAAAATCGGCTTTTCTACGATGTTATCCTCGGTTATCGTAGTTATCGAAATCCTGTGTTTGTCCGTCAACGGATATTCTGTCGCGCGATTAATTTTCCCGATGGTTCGTGTAAATAAAATTCAGCTGGGATTAACTGAAGAAACGTGTGCACTACCTGAACAAAAACGAGAAGTGCGCCTTAAAACACTTCCATTTCCACAAGAACTATGCAAGACGCTTGCAAATGCGAGTTTAAAAAACAAAGAACGTCCATGATGGGCAATTTTCTCGAAGAAATGTATCTTCACGATATTTCAGTACCTGAAATACCTGTAAATATCAGCTTGTGTTAAAAAAAATACTCACCATCAACAATGTCTTTTCCTCCGCTAACTTGAGCTGGTTTTCCTCTGGGATACCGTAAAATTCAAAGCCACGATGAAGATAAAACTGAACTCTCATTTCTCACCCAACACAACTTCATTTAGCGAATCTCATCCCTCTGAACTCTCCATTATTCATAGCTGCTGTGACTTGTACATTTATAGACCACTGTTGTATGGGGGATTTCCCTCTTTTTGTCATGGCGATACCAGCTGACATTCCAATCCCATTCATCCCATCTGCTTTTCCAGAAAGGAATGCCAGCTGAGAGGATCGACAGATGTAAGGATTATCCCATTATCAGACTCCGGCACACCAGAACACTTGCGAGACTTGGAATACCTGTTTAGAAAGAGATAAAATATAATCTCAAAACACTGTGCCCATACTGGCGCAGTTATCGAAATCTACCCACCGAAAGACCTGTAAACTTCAAGTAAGCACTAAATCCCAGATAGATGCCGCTCTAAAGCAAAACTACCGAAAAGGGAATAAAAGTGCGCGAATAAATGCCCAGATTGATTTTATGCAGTACAATACAACGAAGAGAAAAACATTGCTTGGTTGAGTTGGTTGAAAAGAACCTTAATAGGGGCTGAATACAGTCATGAATTTGCGAATGAAGCATTTTATTCTAGAGGATTTAATATCATTCATAATTTTAGACTGAATTTTAGAGAATTTTATTTTAGGAGGAATTTTGAAGTATTTAATTATTGGCATACTTAGTATAAGGATTGGCCTGTTGTTCAAAACAAATCCATTGATCTGAACATTGCTGCATTGATATTCGAAAGATGAAGGTTTGAAAAGTAAAGATCGGATTAATTGTTTTGGAGGTAACTAATCCTAGTTTCTCAAAGCGCAGGCTATACAATCGATTCCCACTGTCTGGGTAATTTTATCATCAAATAGATTACCGCATTCCTGCATCTTATCGTGTGGTGAAAGTGTATGCGTATGATCTGTCAAAGCCAGCTTATTCTAAATTCAAAAATGTGTTTCAGAGAATAATTTTAGCGTTAGTCGGCTTCGAATTTCGAATTTTTCAATGGAGGTGTATTCCGCGCTCCTCTTAACTCCTCCTACTCAGACATAGACTCGGGCCAGAAACGAGAAACCTGGGCTTTGACGGCTCCCTTGGACTGCATCTTTCGCGTGTAGTGTGGTGAGCTTCGCGGTACGTGCGTTTCACTGTTGCAAGTGTGAATAGCTTCGCAGAGATGAAGATCGCGCTTGTTCGGGTTCTTGCGAAGCAAATGGTGAGTTTGGTTACCTTGACATTGTCCAACTATGAGAACATACCCTCTTTCCTCGATAACGTGGATTATTGGGACCCTCTAAATTTTAGGTGGGTATGTTTGACCCATAAAGAAACTGAAGCAAGCGAGGGCTATGCGTCTATATAGGAGCGTTGACGATGAATGTTCATTTCGTTTATTCGTAAGAAGAGTGTAGAAACGAAAACTCGTTTCCGAAACAAGCTACGCTTCGGGAAAATGGGTTAATTCACAGTAATGGAGAAGGAAACCACGTTTCACGTCTGGTTTTCTTTTTTTTGAAGTGGCTTGCGGAAGTTTTAGGAGATGCTTGAAATGCCGATTCTCGCGTTTTACTTCCTAAAAGCAAGAACTGAGTGTATTACCAATATTCATGTTATTACGCGTCGACGAATTTCCCAATTCTGAGGTAATTCTGCGCAAATGTGCCGACTTCAGCTCTATATACCTGAGCAAAAGTACACTTCAACCCCTCATACTGTGCAATTTAACTCGTTTTATTGTATGTAGTACTACTTGATGACAAATAAATCAGTCGTTGCTTGGAAAATTGATACCATTGTAGCTATTTGAAGATGTGCTTAATGGAACTGCCCTCGTGCAAATGCCGCTTCTGCAGAAAACAGACAGAATTTTCTGCCTATTTGACTTGGAGATTGGGGTGTTATGGAGGAGAAAACTGAATGCTACTTCTGAGCCGAAATGATTTTGAATGTCCGCGTTGCCATCAGTTTTTTTTTGCCCTAAAGATGCAACGGCGTCTAAACAACTTTCATTCAAAACCGGTAGATTTTTGAGAGTCCCACTTTATCTGCGATGCGGAACACTACACGCATCGGATCACACGCAAGCACTTATGTGTCCACAGGAATCCTGAGTAAATCAAGATAAACCAATAGAATCAAGCAGTTTTATTGTCCGATAACATTTATGGGCAGCAGTTTTTGCAGAATGATTCGCTTTGAACAAGTCACGCGTTGTGGTAATGAAATGCTGAACCAAGCGTACAATGAGTGCTAATTCATGCATATTCTCAGTTCTCTGGCATCGAACGGATCACACTGAAAGTTGAATGTCAACTACGTCATAATATATTACAGTAATGTTCCACGAACGTATGTGTAAAAAATAAGAATAAGTTTGGCTGACTGATTTATGTACCAGTTTTTTTTTTGTGGTCTTCTTTTCGCCGAAAAGTACCGGAAAACATGCACGTTAAAAACTTAAAGGTATACTGTACAGCGAAAAGCTTATTCTTCGTGAAACGGATTTGGAATCAGTTCTGTCTTCCCGGAAAAAACGTGAATTGCTTGCAGATGTTCACAAGTTGGTAGAATGCTAATTCGAAAAACTCGTAAACTGCTGAATGATCGAATAAACTGCTGACTGATGTAGAGTAGGCATCAAAATGATCTCACTTTATGGATTAAACGTAGACAGTACATTAATTCCACACAGTTATTAAATTAGATAGTTTTTTATGCCTGCTCCACTGAGTATCATATAATTGCCAAAAAACTGACCTCATGGGTACATGATCATGCTAAAAACTGAAAATTCATTAGCTCAAGAAACGCTTTTCACAGCTAGGTTCGTTGAAAATCGTAATTTTTCTTGTAAAATTACTTCATTACAAGGTTTATGAAGCTGCGCACAGTTTACTTTTTATTGGCAATGCAAAGATATTGAGCCTAGTATTTTTGAGATTTTTCAAATTCTGGACTACGCCACCGTCGGATTTGTCTCTCAGCAAACGGAACGAGTTGTTGATGAAAATAAATAATTAATCGAGCCGCCATCGCATCCAGCACCGCAATTATGAGTAAGTACCCATATATATCATGATAAACAGGCCTAACATTTCTGAAAAAATCAAAATGAATTTTGTCCGCGTGACGCACGTACCCACGGTCCACCATATCTATTGTAACAGGCATTTTTCCCTCGGCATTCTCATTCTCAGACGCATCAGGCAAGAACAGGTGCATTAATCTTGGGTGCCTCATCTGTCCGACTTACTCACCGGAACGCAGCTCACATTTTCCAGCGCACTCAGGTTTATCTCGTAAGTGAAGTTTGTTGCCTCCATAGAAAAAAAAGAAGAAAATAATGATACGCCCGTTGCATTCGGATCAAGTCCGACGACTGTGGCACTCTCTAAGATTCTTCCATCGGAGCAAAGTCGCAGAGCTTCTCTTAAAACGTGAATCGATCAAATTTTTACAAGTGAAATATGTTTTGTTACTGGTGTGCCATTCGAGTATTTTCCGTTTTTCGTGTCCTGTTATGTCTCAGTAAAATTATGTGAAGGAGTGCAAACTACTTAATTGTGCTGGAATGGACTACGAAATTAGACCTATTTTTTAAACAAAAATATCGCCTGACCAGTTCCAGCTGTGCATTTTCATCTATGTCTGGCGACAGCACATACACATTTCTTGCGAATCTTATCCAAATCATGGCTCTAGTTGCATTGTATATCACAAGGATAAAAAAAAACAGATTGCTCATAAGGAAACGCACGAAAAACCCATAATCTTCGTCAGTTTTTCGAGCTGTATTCAGCCATCCTTATCGGAAAAATGCAGATTTTGTGCTCTACCTTCGAATGTCAGTCATGAGTTCCCCAAGTGACGAAAAAAAATTGCATTTGTCAACCTCCACCTCTCTTTTGGCGCATTATGATAAGAGCAAACAGGCTAAAAAGCAGAATCGTGTCAAGGGACATCGGCGTTGGCGGGATTCGCGGGAGAACTAAATAAGTTTGCCGTATTTTATGACTTAAATATTTTAAACAACATGAACCATTCGTGGAAAGCTCAGGAGGAAGCACATTTTTTGAAGGGGTAATTAATTTACTGCGATGTTTCTGGTGGTAAAACCAATGCAACTAAAACCACGAAAAAACTTTTTTTTCAAGAGAAGGATGAGCATCGTTCGAAATTTTTAAGGAACCATGCAGAACTGGCGGGCGAGAAATTATTGATGCTCGAAAGTCTGAATTTTGTTTTATCTGCACTGTAGTACAATATAGACAATATCGATGTCAGGGGCCCTGAAACACTTGAGGAGTAGTGACTAATTCATCAGGAGGGAATGGGTTGCTGTCCAGTGTTCGGCTCACGAAGCAGATCACTTTCGATCGAGGGCACACCCCCGGCTGGTGAAAAGGTGAAGTCATCGTCAACGAAAACTGAACCGGCGAACAACTTCAGGAAGGGTCCTACAGCAAGTCCCGCAAATGAGCACCGAGAAGTAGACCTGACTTTCGGACAACTGAAACAAGTTGTTCTCGCAAATCCCGATTCATACGTCATTATCGACGTCCGAAAACCGACGGAAGTTGAAGAACGCGGACGGCTTCCTCGAGCCGTCAACTTGCCTCTCGGAGAAATTGAAGAAGCGATGCAACTCAGTACCGAAGATTTTGAGAAAAAGTACCATTTTCCCAAAGTGGCTTGCAACAACGATGGCATCATATTGTATTGCTGCCGCGGGTACAGAGCTACAGAGGCTAAGGATAAATTCAAAAAACTGGGCATCAAGTGCGTCCAAGTCTATTCTGGTTACCTTGATTACGTCGAAAACGGTGGTTTTGTTGATCGTTCCAAAGAGGCAGACTCCCGTCAGTCGTAAATCTCTTGGACTCGCCAGATTTGTATTGTTATGTTCTTCCAACGAACAGTTTTAGTATCATATTTACTTGCATGTACTGTGCACTTTATATTACACTCAATTTATCCAAAATCAAAGATATGGTGAGATTGATGAATCAAAGCGTAATTTATAATTGTTCCTCTCGTACAGCATTTTGAATGGTTAGTTCCTGGAATTTAGCACTTGATCAATTAGTTTCTCTATAATCATTGTTCGCTTCTGACCAATGCATTCTTTTAATCACGAACTTCGCGTGTGAATTTAAGACTTAAATGTAAGGCGGCTTGGACTTAGAAAACAAGTTTAAATTTTCGAGCGTATTAGAGAAAAAACAGTGCGCGTACATTCAATTACATGTGAATGATGTGATGCTTCAGCCATTTATCGGATCAGCTATTTTTTTTCTTTGAACAAAGTATGCCTAATCCAAAATTGACGAAGATGTTTAGCTTTCAACTCTGTGAAATTGCTGAAGAGGGATTATTGTGTGAAATACGTGGTCTGAATATGTGGGAATTGAATAAACAAGCGTCCTGCTGCTGAATAAATTATCGGAATTTTCTTCAAGCAGCATAAGCTCCGGTGAGTTAAAAGCGAAATAACTCAACATAAAGTAGGAAAACAAACATGTATTTTCCAGTGTAAAACAGATTCAAAGGGCGCAAGAAGCTCTCGTACACCTCACGATAATTCCCTTCATTCTTCTCGCTAAAAAGCAACCCAAATGGGTAATAAATTATTTCCCGATTAAAACAACGCTTCCCGATTGTGAGCGACACTTCTAATCACAACATGTGAGATAAACAGAATCGTAAAATGGTGCAGTCTGAACCTGAATACTTCGTAGATATTCCTGTGTGAATTTGGAATCGACGGCAGGATAAGGAATCACCTTAAATTCACACGCCTGCTTTTTAAACAGAGAACAAATGACGTGACCGAAAGCCATAGTGAAATTAGCCGCGGGTAACGGGGCCCAAATACCATGCTGTCTTGCAAACGCTATTCCCGGGTTTTGTGACACAGGGTACCTGCATGGTTAATTTCAAAAGAATTGTTACAGTATGCCAATTTTTTTTAGAAGCACTTACCCTATGGGATCTAATGGGACATGACTTTCTGGTGTCATTGCGAAACACATGCGATTCTGCTCGTCTTCTCCAGATTGACAATCTTGAACTCCATCGCAAAGCTTCGTGTAGTGAACAGATTCTGAACTTCCTGCTGTATTTTTGGGGTTACTGAAAAATTGTTCAGGAGATTAAACACAATCCCTCGTTCATACTACGAAGATTCAAAAACGAATAATGAAGCGTTCTAAGTACTGTACCTAATACATCTTTGATGATTTTCAGGAACACCGCACTGAGAATTCTTTTCATCCTCATACCCGTAGCAGTCTTGTATTCCGTCGCACACCGACCCGCTCCAGGTTCTATTTTGAATTTTCCCGACGCAGTCGCAGTTCACTTGATCAGACCCATCGTCGCAAAATGACGTCATCTGGTCGCACACTTTTTCTTGCGGGATGCATTTTCCAGAGGCACACGTGAAGTATCCGGATTCACATTCTGTTGGCAGGGATTATTTGGAGTCTCGTATCAGATATACAGATAAATTTTACAACAATTTTCTCCGCATATTATTACCCGTATTTAATTGAGTACCACGCACACCTTTTTCTCAAAACTTCCGAGGAAAAAGGGGGGGGGGAGTGAGCGGCATATGCGGGTATAAATGTAAAAAAAATTTCGGTGTGTATCATACTTCCTTCTAAGTTTAAATTTTGGACCAAGTTTGACGGAAAAAAACGTATTACAATGTTAAATGGTAGAATTAATGACAATACGTGTCTAAATTAAAATTCGGATGTTCGTATCTTGGAAACGTTGTGGTTTCGGAGTCACTAAAAATGGGGAGCGCGTCTCACGTGGGGATAGGGTTTTACCAAAATTCCGGGCTGAAAAAAACCCTGGTGCGCGTCTTTCTCGAGGACGCGTGGTACTCGAGTTAATGCGGCCTTAGCGCCAAAATACGACCTAGATTTTCAACAGAATACGGTTTGAATTCCTGATCTGCTCTCGAAAGAATAAAATTACGAGAATTTGGTACTTGCCGCAACCGTAATAGTCTGTATCAAAGCCTTCGGCCACGTCGCAGAAACGCTCCGTTTTTACGTCCGTGGTGGTTACTTCGTCCATCAAATCATGCGAGTGGGGAATACCATCTTTTTGGTTCGTTTTCGGCACGCAAATGCCGTAGCTCATGAGGTCCCCTGATTCACACGGTTTTGCTTCTATCCTTGGAGCTGGTGAAAAATGCGACCATCAAGCAGACATTTTCTACGATGAATCATGCAATTACCCTTTTTTTCATTCTCGAGTAAAACTTGGGACTTTCAGGTTCATTCGAAGTAAAGGTGTCGAGCTTATTATTTCTACCCTCCTTGATCATAGGACCGATGATGCGTATTTTCCCGCACATGCAGTTCCGGAAAAATTCGAATACTGTAGTTTGAATCGATTCTATTCTCGTATTTTCATCAATATAAATAAATTACTTCACACTCAAAGAATTGATGCATTGCACAAGTGTCGATGTTGTTGCTGTTCCATCGTCGAGTAGGAAAAACCCACCCTGGAAGCCTCAGGCAAACCCCCGAAGACTTGGGACACCACGGAAAAAGTTCGGTATTTTTCAAGACACTTCGTTGCACAGAACATTTTCGGGATATGTTGATAAATAAACTCTAAAGTCACGCTTTATCGTATGAGATAATGGATGGTTTTTGAGGGCCTATATCGTCTACCATAATCCATATATTAACGTAATCAGCGGAAGGTATATTTTCTAATATGGAATGCAGGGATTAATCCATAGAAAACTATAGAATGATTTTACCACATTAATCGCTCCGTTTTTGCTTTAAAAAAATCTTACGGCGGAAAGAAATTGGATAACCTGAAACTTGTTTTTTGGCATTTGCGGATTTGCGTGTATCTGCCGTTCCGTAGAAAACTCGAGGCACAGCTTTCAGCAATAAATTAAGAAGTTCCAATTATTTTAAAGGCCTTTGAAGAAGTTTTGCAGTATTACTGTGCAATAATGAGCCCCCGATTTTTTTGTTGGGCATATTTTGAAGAAAAGGTACAGTATTTTAGCCACGTTTAATGCACGAGAAAATATAGCTTTGCATATCACATCGGAGTTTCATCAAGAGCTTCCGAAAAAAAAAAAAAAAGAATGTACTCACCCGGCCCCAGTAGCATAGTTTCCAAAATTCTTTTGGTGGCTGTAGCCAAAGCCGGAAGCTTAGAGGGCAATTCCTGCGTTGCACAAGTTCCTTTTGCTTCAAAAACTGCAATTGCTTCCCACCGGGTGGGGTTTTCGGCATCCGTGGCACAGCTCAAAGCACTTCCCCATTTGGCCTGTAACATTCCAGGAATTGCGTGGTTTTAAAAATTGACGGCAATGCGGATGCCATTGAACGCACCATGCAAGGAAGAGTTCCCGAGGCGTAACTTAGGCAGAGCATATCGTGTTCGCAAGGCGTGGCGGTGATGTTGACAAACTCGATTTTCCCTTTAGCAATTCCACCGATGTAACATTGCATGGTTTTCTTTTGAGGCAAAGCATCAGGCAAACAAATGGGAATAACAGCGTCACTTTGGTGAGGGACTGATTCCATATGCAGTAACGCAATTTTCTCATCCTGTAAAATCTTCAGGCCATTGATGGGAATGACTTGCTCAAATGAAGTTTTCACGGGCATGGATGGTTTCCAGTGCCCGAGCCGAACCCGCAAGTTGCCCTTCATGCTGCAAAGCAATTAGGTATTTATCTCACCGAAGGCTTTTTGAAGTGCGACAGGTATTCTGTTACTGATGGTAAAAAATACTGTACAAGATGATTCCAAGTCGTAGGAAACTTGAAAAAGACGTACAGGGCACAGTACATAAAAACTAAGAGTTCTATCTGAACAGTTTCAAGTTGTCAATGTTGGGTTTTGTGAATCTTACAAAGCAAGGCACGTGAAATTATAAATTTTTTTCAACCATCAAGATCTTGTAAATGAATAAGCTTGTCGCAACTCTTTCTCTCGGAGATTTTATTTCAAAAAGTACTGTACAATACTGTTATACCTCGACGCAGCTAAAACCATAAAATGTTATTCAAAATTCAAAGAAAATTAAATGAAGTCCATTCGATTTTTTTCGAAGTGATAAGTTGAATTTTTCGGAGGGCGAAGTCCTAAAAAACGTATGTTTCTTTGTGGAAAAGCAGGTTTTTAAAATAACTCAGTTTCAATTACCCGCATTTTCCGGGAATTTTTCGCAAAATAATCAAAAGCTGCTCACTCTTCGCCGACTTTCTCCAGGCACGAGATTGGTGCGAGAAGCCAGTTTTCTCCAATGTAAGTGCAACCGCAAGCGTAAGACCCATCGATGTAAAGGGCACCTAGCCAAGGCCAGACACCTGGCAACTTATATTCCTCTAGTCCTGTGGGCGCTTCTCCGTTTTCAACTGTTGACCAGTAACGTCGTTTCCCACATATCTTCGGACCACAAGTGAGAGATGCTCGACATTTTCCGGAGGAATGAGAAAACGAATGCGATTTTGGGGGCCTGAAGAGCAAAATGCTTGTCAGAATTATAAAGAAAAAAACGATAAGCGCTCAGCCTTTATAAAAAGTGAAAATAGTTCTTAGTTTCGCAGATCCCGTAGCTCGTCGTTTTCAATAATTAATCCTGATATATTAGCAATTTATAAACAGCATTTTAAAATCCTTTCCTACTTACTCAAATCCAAGGTATTCACAGATCTTCACTGTCAATGGAGGGGCAAACTTCTTGAAACAGGGAGTGATGTATGAAGCAATCGTGAATGGAGATTTCCATGACAGAACAATCCCACTCTGCATCGGAATGGCTTTGTTCCTCGAATCAAAAATTATTTCATTGGGATCCGCAGTTATGGAATCTAGGAAATTGAATAACAGGAAAAAAAACAGGTTTTTAAAATAACTCAGTTTCAATTGCCCGAAAAACAAGTGAGAAAAAGCAATACTTCAAATACAGTAATCATTAAACTTACAGCAGCCGACTTCATCTTCTCCGTTGGGACAGTCAGGTGCGCCGTTGCAGATGAGTTTCTTGCCGATTCTTTTGTTGTCGGGGGATCGCTCACAAGCAATTGTGTCATTTTCAACTGAATTAAAACGATGCACCAACACTTCAAAGTCTTTCAACTAATACGATTCCCATTTCCCACAATAGAAACCACATTTCGAAATTGCGGCCAGTATAAGAAATTCATAAAAGGGACCTCTAATTTCTGCACGCAGTACAGTTTTTCAGGAAAATTTAAAGGGGCATAGGTAAACAAATTCTTCCGCATTGCTTCTGAGTATAGATTTTCCCGCATTTTCTTTATGTAAAAACAAGAAAGATTATCACCGCGTCATCACCCAGTCATTATGGAAGATTTCATTTTCGATTTTTCACAATACTCAATTTGGAGCCATTGAAGAGCCACAAGAGGCAATTTTCAAGTTTTTAAAAATTTTCAAAGAAAGATCTTGCATTGAGAGTTGAGAAATCTATTCAAATCTCTAACGCGAAAGTGCATGATGAGGAATGCATTGGATCATAAAATCGCAACAGGAAATGACAATTTCAATGAACTGCGCAGTGAACTTGAACACGCTTTGTGGCATTGTTGTTTACCTTTGCAACGTGACTCATCGGAGCCGTCGAAGCAATGAGTTATTCCGTCGCATACCAAGGACTGGAATTCCGGAAACGCCTGCAGATAGTCTCCGCAGGTGCAACCAATCTCGTCTGTCTTGTCGGGGCAATCTGGGACAGCGTTGCACAATTGTCTCTTCGTGTAGCAATGTGAACCTCTGAAGAAAAATAAAAAAAATTGAGATAACTACTAAATTTAAGGTTACAGAAGATTTGGAAATAAGTCCTTTCACTACTGCGTCTGTAAGAACCCCAACAGTTCCAGGATTTATGTTCTTCGCAATTTGAAGGATACATGTTTCCGTCGAGTTCGACACCGTGGGAGAAGATCGAAACAAAATCACTCACGATTTGCATTTAGATTTTCCAGGACCACAGGTATTCCCAATTTTGGCGGGCTTCGAGCCATGCTTGATGCTTCCGAGATTGCAAGCTTCAAACTCGTCTTTCGACGCAACGTCCAAGAGGCAGTCGATCTTTTTGTCACACACTTCTCCAGGGTGTATACAAATGCCAGTTCTTTGACATAGTACCCCAGAGCACTCCGATTTCGTGGCGTACTTCCCCTCCTTGTAATTTATCGCGCCAGCTAAACAACGCAATAAAAAAAGTCATCGTCAAATACTAAAAAATGAGGAAGACTTGAATATTTTAATCTCACTAAGAACTTTTCGAATCCAGGGTAGATATGCAGAAACCAGTGTGTAGACTCCGGGGAAATTTTTCATGGCGCAAAGTTTTCCGTGACTCACAACCCCGACTATGTACCACTGTTCTTCATCTTCATCCAGTCTGCAAAAATTAAATTTTTGCGTCATCCATGCTCTAGGCGCGAGGCTTTTTGGCCAGTTTTCTGTCGGTTTGCTCTAGTTTTTTATTTAATAAAACAGTACTTTCGTTCTTCACAAGAGCTTTCCTGACTTTTACGCGGTAATTCTCTACCCAATCTAATGAAGTGCTAAATCACATTGCTGTACTTTTTTTTATAAACTTTCGCAATTTTCAATCGAAGCGAAGTCAGGAGTCTAGATATTTTTATTCAAGCATTACTTCTACAGAAAGCTATACTCCGCCACAAATGCTTGAAATTTAATCAATGCTGCTAAAAAATGATGTTAACTTCAAATTGAAAAATAAACATTCTATCAACCTACACAGAACCGCACAGCTATTACGAATTCTTCTGTAGTTGGACGGAAAAATTAAATCACCGTCAATATTCAGATCTACGTCCAATCCATGTTTTTGGATCTTCAAGAAGATTTTAAGAACAAGTGTTTTGCTTACGGGCAAATTAAGGCTCCACCGGAATCCCCAGCACAGGCATCTTTACCACCTTCTCCCAGCCAACCAGCGCATAACATAGTGGCATCGTCCACGTAGTTCATTTCTGCTAAATATTTGCAGCTTCCCATGCACTTGACGTAGACCTCATGGAGTGTATCGGCTGAAAAATATTTTCAACAATTTTGCAGCCGATAGAAGAATTTATAAAAAAAAAAGAAAAAAGAAAAACAGTCAGCACTCGGTCGAAACTTACGGCTCACTCCGTTGTATTGAGTATGCCCCCAACCCATGACACGACATTCGACCCCATCTGGTTTCGGCAAGTTAGGCGGTGGAAGGCAAATCGGATGGACCCATCGATTAAAATACAGCGGATTTTTCAGGACGCCAATCGCAATATCACCAGAATAATACTGAAAATTTAAAAGAAAGAGCACTAAGCGCTTGGAAAACGTATCTGTGGAAGTTTCCATAGTGTATTTTGAGAGCTGCGAAAATTGAATCGCGGGAAAGTTTCATTTCACGTACGCACTATGGTGCATAATATCAGCTCACACTATACCGTATTCAGTATAATTGGCACGTTTTCATCCAAAATGCACGTATTTTTTTGGTTCGCTCCAACTAGTATGTTCAGGATTTTTCTCTTTATTCCTCAGAAGTTATTTCAGGATTGCACGAAATATTCGGTTAAATTCGAATAATCCTATGCAGTACCCTCCGAATTACTTTTCACGCTTTTCGTACTTCAAATTTCATAAAATTCAACCCACGGCAATAGACAGGAATTAGCCCCCATTTTCCCATCTTAAATTACGAATATTTCTTAGAGTTATGCAGTTTTTAACTACCTATCGACGTGTAAGATTGCAGTATATAATCTCAAATACTTTTCAGTATTATCAACTGTACAATGTCATTTTTTGAGAATTCCCGTTCATCAGAATTTGACAGTGTTTTAGTTTTGATTTTAAAATATTTGAAAAATCAATGCGGTTCCACCTACATGGGTAGACGAAGCAGCCCCAGAATATTCTTCCGATGGAATGACGTACTCAAGTGAAGAATATTGAGTCGACGGAGAGTTGGAAAACCTCCGCAAGTTGCCTGCCATAACTCGATAGTGAACAGTTTGGTAAGGAAGCAGCTTGCTGTTGAATAATTTGACGAAAAAAAAAGTAGAAAGTAAATATCAAGACCAGTACATGGTAACACTCAGTATTGGTCACTCACGTGGGTGATATCCATATGAAGAAACAATGGGCAGCGGTGAGAATAAATTTCTCTGAAAGAATTGTCCCGCCGCACGAAAAATATGGTCCGTGCCAAATAGCGCACATGTGCGGATTCCTACCGGCCTTGCTAGCAACGCCTCCGACTATCCGGTCTTGATTTCGTATTGGAGACCCCTTTTCCCTGTATTTCTCAATCATTGGATCATCGTCAGTTATGATGCTAGATACTGTTCGTCTGTGACGAACTTCACCGGAGTATCCGCATTTAGGGGGATCGCACTGGATTTGATAAACCAATTTTGATGGACACGTCGTGGGGGCCCAGCTTCGATTGATGTAGCCGACAAACTGCCCCGTGTAGTTTTTCGGCAGTGGGATTATTCTAGGCGTCACTTTCCTGAAGCGTGAGAACATCAATTGAAAAAATTACGTGAAAAACTTTTCACTTTCAAACGCATTGATAAGTGAGCGAGAAAAAGGATTTTGATCTAGATAACTAACAAATTGTCCTGTTAATTTTTTTGGCTTTGGGATTATTCTAGGCGTCACTTTCCCGAAGAGTGAAAACATTGAGTAAAATACGCGAGAAATATGTTCACTTTCAAACGCCTTGGTAAGCGAATGCTAGTTATTTACCAATAGGACAGAAAAATGAATTTTCCTTACTCGCTAGGAACCCCCATGGTTTGTCTGCACAGCTCAGCAGCAGCTGCTGCTGCGTCGAACGATTTACCATCTGTTACGCAAATCATGTGCCAGAGTCCAGATACTCTGCGGTACATGTAACCACGTCCACGAAGGCCATACAGGAGCTAAATGGATGAAATGCTTATGAAATGTATAATTTCTTGGAGTTGTTTCATAATTTAGATTCTCACATGAGTGGCATCTCGTACGTGGTGAGCTGCAAAGCAAACGCGCTCATCCTCGCCATTTTTGCATTTATGTGCTCCGTCACAGGTTTCTTCCTTCGAATAGCAATGCCTTTCTGCATCAAAGGTACGGTCGTCGCTGTCGATGCAAAGGCGGTGCTTCGGAGGACATTTCACGCAATGCTTCTCGGAATGTGGAGGACAGTCCCGAAGTACTTTTAGTCCTGGATCAAAAATTATGAATTGCAGATCGCACACACATCACAATAAAACTAGGACAATCATGAAACAATTCGTTAAAATGTGTACTACAGTATTTTCTTGATCAAGATAAGATTGCTTGATTTGTTTGCGTCACCGAGAAATACGAGGTAATTCACTTGGAGCATGATTTTCGGCGCATTAATTCGTGATCAAGCGTATAAGAAGTAGCTGACTGATTTTCATAATGTGAAATGGTATTTTGAGTCAAATATAGGTAGATTATTCCTTAAAAAAAAAAACTTCCGAATTGCCCCGAACTTTGAAAATTTTACTTTTCTTACTGCGTGAATTTTCGTTACTCTGGTATGAGTCACTTGTCATCATGTGGCCCCTTTCAACCGGAGCAGAATTTTATTCTCGTTCTTTTCATTTGTAAACTATACTCTTCAAGTTTTTGGCTGACTTTCCAAGGGTTTGGCTAAATTCACATTCAATGATTCGCAAATTTTGCTGTTCTTGCGGTGAGAATTTCAGTCTCTCCAGGCATGCATCACTTGTCTTGTGGCCTATTTCTAAAATGCAGAACGAAAATTTTCCCCAGATTTTAAAAAACCAGACTCATCGAATTGTTGGCCAAGATTCTAAGGGCTTGGCTAAACTCACGTTTTTCACCTCTCAGATCATTTCGTTGTCCTTCAAATTGGCATTCTCGGCATATTATTTCGCGATCATTGAAAGACAATCCATTACAGAGCCATTATGCTAATACCAATGGTCTGAATTTGAGGAAGGCTACAAAGCATCACAGCCAGTGAGATACAATAACTTCCAATGGAGAAGATTCCCTGGTTTGAAAAAAAGGTATTTCGGAAACAGGTGCGAAATCTCAAGACTTCGAACGTTGGCCGTGAGCAAGATAATCATCTCACCATGAGTGTAGGCACAACCCGTTTCGTCACTGCCATCTGGACAGTCGTCAGTACCGTCACACAATCTACTGACATTTCTGGGCATGGATGCAGAGTTGATCCAATCGACTCGCTCGACGCAAGTGCAATTGTATTCGTCAGCTCCTGAAGGATGCTCCACAATACCATTACACCGTTTAATTTGGTGATCTGAAGCACAATGCAAAGCTCATGGCATAATTCAAATATCGTCTTACGCCTTTTCAAATTATCTTACATTCGGCATGATGTGCATATGAAGTGAGAAAGCCATCCGAGCTTCTGGCCGCAGTCTCCTTCGCAGCTTCTGCATCTTCCAACTTGGAATTTTCGATTATCAATTCAACATTCAGCGTTGATTTAAGTTTTGACAAAATTTCATCGGCGATATGCTTGTCTGCTGCGCTCACACTTTTCTCCGCTTTCAGATTACGAGAAAAAATGCCATCGAGAGACGAATGATAGGTTTGACTGTGATCACAATCCAGTTCATTGAAAATGCACTCCAGCTGCCCTCTTCCATCGATAAAACCTGAGCAATGAAAGCGTTGACCCGATTTTTTTTTCAATACAACGTTATGTTTTTATTACCAGAGTAATCCTCGTCAGGATTTCGCATCATCGTACGTGCTGTTCGCATGCTATCGACATTCAGCTTTATCCCTCCGTCCTCTTCACTGCGGAAATGCTGAACCGGGTTAAAAGTTGGTCCCGGGGTCAAGGGTTCCTTCTGGACAGCAGGAGGTGGTCTCGTCTCAACACCAGTTCCAGTGGTTCTGGTAGGACCAACTTGTTCAGCCAATGCCCCAGAGTCCATTTCCATAACATTAACCCGAGGGGATGCAGCATCCAGGAGATCTACGTATTTCCCATCGATTGCAGTGCGTGACCATGTCGTTTGGTTGAGTAGTGGGTCGAATTCGTTCTTCTTCCCCATCATCTTAAATTTAAAGGGAAAATATGAAAATTATTCGAAAGATTCTACACTTGAAATGACGAAGGTTGTGTTCCCAAAAAAATGAATGTTTCTGAATATGTACCTAGCATAATGGTCTACTCACTGCGGAGTCGAGAAGATCTGGGTTTGTAGGAGGAAATGCGGCTTTCTGACTTGGAAAGCTGAGCCCTACAATCACCGGAGGTCGATGCTGACTCATAATCGTTGGATTATTCCGACTTTGCCCCTGGACTGGAGTAATGTGATTTTGGTTGGGTCGAGGTTTCAAAATTTGGATGAAATTCTGTCGCGGTGAGGTCGCGGTACTAAGAGTACCTTGAGCCTGGATAACCTGAGATTAATTCGTAAAATGATCAGAAAATATATATAAGGAAATTCACTTCTTTTCGAAGTGGGGCAACAGCTTTTAGTTTTAAAGAATTTTATTCTCAAACCTTTTGTCTCTGAGCTCCCATGAGATGCGGCAAAGCTGGCGCAGGTTTGGCTAAGTTTTGGGACTGGGTCATCGATGACTGACTCGGTGGTGGTGGCATTGAAATTTGCGTTCGTCCTTGGTCCCTAAAATTCGAAGGAGGGATTTGCTGTTCTGAGTTTTCCTTTCGATGTGTTTGAATGATATTTTGTGCGGGTTTCCTGGGTGCCTCGAAGTGTTGATGAATCCCAGTTCTTCCAGAAGACATTTCAGCTGGTTTCTCGACTGAATTTGGCGCGAGATTAGATTGCAACGAAAGCATCTCCGGAACTAAGCCAGAACTCGACGGCATATTTCGCGCCTCCTTCTGAAGAATGTCGGCCAACGCCGACAGCAGTTTTTTGACGCATTCTGTCAATTCATCTCCATTCAAAGCCTCCTCAATTTTAGAAATGACTTCGACGGCCATGGAACAAACTCCATCTGCGTCCACCACGTCTCCAGATCTGTGATAGCTCTCTTCTGAAGGTTCGACTGCCTTCCTTGTCCCATATTTGACTCTGCAATAATGTACAGCTTGACTATCAAACAAGTGCTCTTGTAAAAGCACTTCATTTTCACAGTACATGCGTGTTGGTTCGATCTTTCTCTCCTCCTGGTCTGGTGTGCAGTACGATGCGAGCAATGGTCCGTAGAATTTGCTGGTCGCCAAGTCTTTAGGGCACGAAAGAACCCTGTTTTCGACGGGTCTCAGGTAGTCGGATGTTCCCGGAACAGTGCTCGGAGAAAGTTTAAACTTTTCATCAGATAAAAAGGGCAATCCAGAATGAGGTGGGAAATCTGGAGGAGGCGCAGTGTGTTTCTGGAACCTTTGCTTGGAAAGTGGATGAAATGTATCCGGAACTGGCTGAGCAAACGGATTCGGTGGCAAGAACTGCTGGTTTCTTGGGTGAAATTTTTGTACATGCATGTTTCCTGGGGGACGTATTTTTATCCCAGCTTCAGCACAATCAGCCCATACTTTCCAGTCGTACTGATGGCTTCGAAATATAAAATCGGGAGGACAGGCATTCGCGAACTTTTGCCGAGCTGCTCGCCAAATCTGATTGTATCTTTTTGTCAACTGCTGCTTATCAAAAATGTCATCCCCTCTGAATGCAGGAGGAATTGCTAAAAGGCGTCGTTTCGTAATGCTCGTTGACCATTCTCCCACATCTGAGAAGCTATCATCGGTTCTTCCTGGATTCGTGCTCCCTTCCAAGTCTCGTTTCCATCTAAAAATAAAATGTAATGAGTTAATTTTCGGATTTTCCAGGAGCAATTTTAAGCTGGGTCCAAATAAGCCTCCACACGGTCTGTGGTAAAAATAAAAAAATAAATCAGTGCTGCGTGTACCCTAATATACTCCGATTTTCCCACATGCACCTTTACGACATATAGTTCATTGAAGAGGAAAACTCAAGACGGGACGGGCAGACCGCATTATTGAGGAAGTCGAAACAAATTCTTCGTCACTTCTTAGATGCTGTATATAGAAATTTTGGATTTACTCCAACTAAAAATGAAATGGCAACCTTTCTGACTTTTTTCATATTTTTTTTCTTTTTGGGTAACTTGAAGAGAGCCTCTGTCTCACCTCGCATGAAGATTATGCAAGTCGTGCGAAGGTGACGGGAAATTTATTTTCAGAGCAAACCCGTGTGTGTCGACCACATCCCCGCGCTTCGGATGCGGAGAATAGCTTGGTTCGTATGTTTCTTGCGGTTCTTCATATATCGGCTCCAAGTCTGCTGGTACTTCTGTCGGTACTCCGCCCGGATGATGCAGTTGATTGTATCTCATGACTTCGTTCATGTAACTCGGCTTATACATAATTGGCGTGGGCTGCGGGATGAAACGAAAAAATGAACTAATATTCTCGCCAAGAATACCAAGGTTTTTTCAAAAATCCGTATCAGACACTAACAAATTGGCGTGATAAGCTGGTAAGCCCTGGTAATACATTTTTAGCATTCCTTTCCTGCAGTATGACGGTTCATCCCGTGTAAAATAGACTAATATACGAGATACGAATGAAATTGATTCGAGAAGCGTATTTTTGACCTCGGTGAATCTAAAAGAAACTTCACAACATTCTCTTGTCTCTCTTCCTGATGGTAATTCACGCAAATCTTCGAGCATAGTTTAGCAATTGTTAATCCCATGACTATGTATTGTCTAATAAGGTGAGATTTTTTTTCTGTGACCATGCTTTGATTTTTTTTTTTGCTCTTATGCTACTGAAAAAACACCCATGAAGTCATATAAATCAGCTAGCGTACATTCGAAGTAAAAAAAAAAAAAGAAAACCATCCAAAATGTATCTTTTCGTGTTCGAGAAGGGAAAATATCGATCGATAAACCGTGATTAGCTGAAGAGCGACAATCGTGCTTCTTTGGACTGCGCTAACAATTTTTAATAAACTTTGGAAGATTCTTGTGAAATTCCTTGTAAGGTCCAGGTTTAAAACACGAACAGAAAGCCTAATTTCACCCGATGTACGACGTAAGGTGCTCTATTGTAACCAGGATTCCACCAGAAGAACCTTCGATGAGCAGCTCTCAAATCTGTGCAGAATTTCCATATCTTCGGATCGTAAACCAATCGGCGCATCTCAAAATCAGCGGGACAAAATATCGGGTGTGATCTTTTGCTTCGGGCTGCTGCTACGTTTTGTTCGGCGTGAAATGGCCACGTGGGTGCGGGTTGCCGAACCTGCTGCACAGCAGTAGCTTTTTTTGATTGTTTGCTTTTCTGTTCAGTCATCAGCCTCAGAACATAATCGACTGAAAAAAGAAAAAAAAGTTCATTTTACACAGCATGGAATGATTCGATTCCTGCGAAGAGTCATTCGCTGGACTGAATTAGAAACCTTATTTTTCCACGGGAATAAATACTGAACGAATCTTACGTGATTTTGCTCTTTCCAGCAGCTCATTCACCGAATTTCTTCTGGGTTCATTCAGAGCTTTTAAAATGGGGTTCTGGCTGCCGAGTTGACTTTCAGAAGGCCTTGAATATTGCCGAGGATTCCTTGTAATTGATTCCCGAGTGGGTCGCCTAACAGCAGTATTGAATCCGCCGAAAGGGAATGGCGGGAAAAACGCAGGAGGCGCCCGATTGACAAACTGCTGATTTACGAAAGTAGGACCACCAGGAGGTTGGAACCTTTGAGGAATCGGAGCACCAACAGGTCTCAAAGGGACACTAGGAGGTAATGGTGGTCTCTGGGGTGGTAAATTAGCGAGGATTCCTGGAGGCATAACAGGAGAAGGCGATGGTCTTCCAGTTGCAACAGTTTCAGGCTGTCCAGACAATGTTCGGAACAGTTTTGGTCTGAACACCTTCGGCGCATTCTGAGGACTATCCAATGCCTGGTCTATCGCTGCTTTTTCATTCGATGGAAGTGGTCCAGGAAGAGATTCTTCTTTTTTCTTGGCAGTTTCGTCGCGGAAAATTTTAGTATCTCCACCGACAGTTGCTTCAAATGTGAAGCTGTCTATAATGGTCCCTTCTTTCGGTGGACTCGGAAACTGAAGGGATGCAGATGGAATCGAAACGAACTTTTGCAAAATGCTTTGATCTAATGGAGGAGTTGTAGTCAATGCGTCTTCGGACTTCTGAAGAGTTTGCTCGGATACGCCCACTGATGACAAATTCGGTGACGCATCAGCGACTTCTACTTTCGGTGGAAATTGTGAAGTAGATGCTCCATTTGATGTCGACAAGTTCGGTTCAGAAATACTTGGTGGGTCATCTAAACTCTTTTTCGACGAATCTAAGAAAAAGAAAGGATAAGATTGAAAAAAAATTAGGGGAATTTACGAAACTAAATTTACTTCTGTCTCGCGCTTGTTTGACTTCCTCATCAGGCGGACTGAATTGCGATGAAACGTCATCGAACAGGCTCCGAAATCCAACAGCTGAATCAAAATCGTGAGCACTGTTGATGATTTCATCTCTAGATGTCGCTGGTCTCTCACTGGCAGGGGGTGGCGGCAACAGCAGTTCTGTCAGGTTTCTGGTTTGCGAAGGAACATGTAGCTCCAGTATAGAACTACCAGCAGTACCTATTCTGTCGGGACTTTCCGGGATTTTCTGAGGTGGTTCCAATAATTCTTGCAGAACTGAGGAAGCATTCTCATCGCCAGGTTGCATTCCAGTCAGAGGATCCACTGGTCGGTCGGCAACTCCAGCAATTCTAATAATTGCATCAAGACCTGGATTCGAATTATCTTCAGATTTCTCTCTCTGCTGCGGCAATGTAGATGGCGTTACTGCTTGCTGCACCGCGCTCTTTGTCTCACCGATTGCATCGCCCAAATGTGCAAGCGGAGAATCGAAACTGTTCTGAGGATCCGGTAAATCCGGACCATCTTCCAGGTTGGAAAGTACCATTGAACCGACAGAGGTTCTTTCAATGTGAGCACTTTTAACTTCTGGAATAGGATCGTTGCCCACTTCACTCGAATTCGTGCCCAGGTGCTGAATATTCGCTGCTTCATTGCGCCTTAAATTCAAATCCTTCATATGCAATGACAGAGGGTCATTTGAATTATTATTTTCCTGGGTGGCATCTTTCCCGGGTGATTCCAAAGCTGCACTAGGGATCCCAGTGTTCTCGGACCTCTGAGGGGGCATTGTTGACACAGCATCTGATTTTAATTCGATTGCAGCCCCGGTATCCAAGTTGGAGGTGTTGAAGTCCGTATTGTTTATCCGCACTTTATAAAAGATGTATCGTTATATTTTCAACTGAACAAAGATATTAAAAATGCCATGCTCTACCTTCTGGTATTTCTGGGCGTTCGGGAAATTTCTGAGGATCAGTTCCATTTTTTGCCTGATCATCGCGAAGATTAGTTGAGTCTGTTGAAAGACATTTGGGTTAGAATCGAGGATTAAGAGCAAGTTTTCTTCTTCAAAAGATTTCATCTAATGGGAATTCTGCTGGTTCAGTTGAGCTACTTACTCATGACGCCCTGGAGATGAACATTGAAAAAGCTTTCACAAATAATTATCCCAACGTGATTGTATTGAAAGTTCGAAGATTTCTTCAAAAATTGAATTCAAGGCCATTAAAACAAAGGCAGGTGAATGAACCTGTAAATATATGAAAAATTACCAATTGAAGTATTGACTGTTGCTCCATCATGTGACTCAGACAAATTCGGCGTAGTTGCATTGAAGTCAACTTTTTCCGCAATAAAATTCGCATTTGTTTCATTGGGAGGAAATGTCTGGCTAGACGACTGCGGACTTGAAGCATTGCCAGACCCAATTTCATCTCTCCCCGAAAAATTATTGGTTGAATGATTTGAGGTCATGGAAGAATTGAATGCCTCACTGGTGTTGCTTTCAACTTCGAGAGGCAACTTTTCAACCTGAATTGGGGGATGAGTGGTGATGAAGGATGTCATAAATGGATCCATCCGTTCTTCCGAAGTTGGGAGGTGAATACTCCTAGACGTCTCTGAAATTAGTCAGAAGATAGTTTTTTTCCAAATGCAAGGGTTGAAATTTTCACATTAAATAAGGGTGAGCCTTTTGATTGTCATTGTGACAACGGATTTCCTCTCAATTATGCTGAGTTTGAGCAACTTTAAAAAAGAAACTTCAAGATTATTTACAGCTCACCATTTTTAGACGATTCCTGCCTGTTGTCAGTTGGTTTCACTCCAGAATCCAAGTCTGGTTCCGTTTTGGATCCATTGTTCTCTCCAGCAATTATTTCTGTAGCAGGTGAAGCACTACTCCCGAAATCCTTGGGAATTATTTCTTCCAGGGGTGACAATTTCTTTTGCTTTTCTTGATCAATATGTTCCTGGTCCAATTGAGTGTTTCCTTCTTGGCTGCTGTTCGCATTTGAGGCACGTGCCAGGAATGGGTTCGCATCAGTTCCAAGAGCTGACAAAGTTGAGGCATCTTTTTCGTCACCAGACTTCAGGACAGGAATTAGACTTGCGTCGAATGAGTCAGTTTCATTCATAAATCCTCCAGTTGAATTTAATCCTTCGCTCTTCCGATTCAAGCCACTCGAAACATCCTCTGGAACCGAAATGGACCCATTATTCTCTTGTATTGGTTCAAATTCTGCTCCAAAAAGAATAGTTTCTCCACCTGTTAGTGTTGCAACAGTTGCTGCTGGAATAACAGGAATACCGGGAAGGACTCCGATTAATTTCAAGAATTTATTGTCGGAACGCTAGTGAAACTTACCGTCTTCGACACAATCTAGACCGAATTCATCCAGTGCAGGAGTTATTCCACGATCAAATTCTAGTGTTGAATTTGATTCCATTTCTTCTGGAGACATCTTTCGAATATCCACAGGAATGCTTGACTGAGTTGCTTCAGAAGTGGTTTCCTCAAGCTGTACTACAGGCACAGGCTCCAACTGAACTCCTGGAGGTTGGGAATCCTCATTTGAGCGATTCAGTCCTTCGTTGTTTATGGTTGCATTCCATGTAGGGGAAGGATCTGTCGCCTTGAAGAGGGCTGAGGTTTCGTCAGATTGACTGTTTTCTCTTTGAATTTCCGTGGTTGCATTTAGAAATTCTGCGGCTCCTTTGTTGATTTCAGAAGGAGTAAAAGACAGCTCCAAAACTGGATCGAATTCTGCGGCGAAAAGCTTGTCGATTGAAGTGCTGGAAACTACAAGGGTTACAGGAGTCGTCTGCCAGGAATGAGTTTCAATAAGGGGGATTGCAGTTGTGAGGCAACTTTTCAACCTGAATTGGGGGATGAGTGGTGATGAAGGATGTCATAAATGGATCCATCCGTTCTTCCGAAGTTGGGAGGTGAATACTCCTAGACGTCTCTGAAATTAGTCAGAAGATAGTTTGTTTCCAAATGCAAGGGTTGAAATTTTCACATTAAATAAGGGTGAGCCTTTTGATTGTCATTGTGACAACGGATTTCCTCTCAATTATGCTGAATTTGAGCAACTTGAAAAAAGAAACTTCCAGATTATTTACAGCTCACCATTTTTAGACGATTCCTGCCTGTTGTCAGTTGGTTTCACTCCAGAATCCAAGTCTGGTTCCGTTTTGGATCCATTTTTCTCTCCAGCAATTATTTCTGTAGCAGGTGAAGCACTACTCTCGAAATCCTTGGGAATTATTTCTTCCAGGGGTGACAATTTCTTTTGCTTTTCTTGATCAATATGTTCCTGGTCCAATTGAGTGTTTCCTTCTCGGCTGCTGTTCGCATTTGAGGCACGTGCCAGGAATGGGTTCGCATCAGTTCCAAGAGCTGACAAAGTTGAGGCATCTTTTTCGTCACCAGACTTCAGGACAGGAATCAGACTTGCGTCGAATGAGTCAGTTTCATTCATAAATCCTCCAGTTGAATTTAATCCTTCGCTCTTCCGATTCAAGCCACTTGAAACATCCTCTGGAACCGAAATGGACCCATTATTCTCTTTTATTGGTTCAAATTCTGCTCCAAAAAGAATAGTTTCTCCACCTGTTAGTGTTGCAACAGTTGCTGCCGGAATAACAGGAATACCGGGAAGGACTACGATTAATTTCAAGAATTTATTGTCGGAACGCTAGTGAAACTTACCGTCTTCGACACAATCTAGACCGAATTCATCCAGTGCAGGAGTTATTCCACGATCAAATTCTGGTGTTGAATTTGATTCCATTTCTTCTGGCGACATCTTTCGAATATCCACAGGAATGCTTGACTGAGTAGCTTCAGAAGTGGTTTCCTCAAGCTGTACTACAGGCACAGGCTCCAACTGAACTCCTGGAGGTTGGGAATCCTCATTTGAACGATTCAGTCCTTCGTTGTTTATGGTTGCATTCCATGTAGGGGAAGGATCTGTCGCCTTGAAGAGGGCTGAGGTTTCGTCAGATTGACTGTTTTCTCTTTGAATTTCCGTGGTTGCATTTAGAAAATCTGCAGCTCCTTTGTTGATTTCAGAAGGAGAAAAAGACAGCTCCAAAACTGGATCGAATTCTGCGGCGAAAAGCTTGTCGATTGAAGTGCTGGAAACTACAAGGGTTACAGGAGTCGTCTGCCAGGAATGAGTTTCAATAAGGGGGATTGCAGTTGTGTATCCGGTGCTGGGTTTTCCAACGTTTTCGGCAATTTGTGCTTGTGTTTCGAATGATTCTCTTTTGTCGGCCTCTTGGACGTTTCCTGGGACTCCAGAGACTGAGGATTGCTTTGAAGAAGCTTCGGAGGTTGCTTGAATTTCGAGTATGGGATCAGCATAAGTTCTTCCGGAATGAAATTCCGAAGAGTTGTCTGTGGCTGAGGCGTTACTTCTTCCAAGGTCCGACCAAGATCTATCGACTCCACTGGTCCCTTCATGTATGGCAACAACTGATGTTGAATTTTCGACTTGTTCCGGTGCCATTCCTCCAAAGCTACTAGTTTGTTGAAGGCTTGTTCGATCGCCCGCAAGCTGCTCATGTTCGGGTTCAGACGGGCCACCTTGTTGTATGGCAGGAAGTCCAGGGAGCCCGACAGCTCCGCTGTCAGGGTCGGCATTCGTCCTGCCTGGCCCACGAAAAAGCTGGTCTTTCTCTGACAAAGGAATTACTGTGGTTCGTGTAATGACTGCCATTAGGATCTCACTCGAAGGCGCAGAATCATTTGTGGTGGTCTCCGTCATCAAGGGAGTCACAGATTCGGGTTTCGGTGAAGATGTTGTAAAGGATACCTTTGTCTCTTCATTCGACCAATTACTAATGTCTGTAAAGATTAGGGAGGATTACGCAAAATCATTTCCAGTTCATTTTAGTTTTGCTAACCTCTGAAACGCACGGAGTCAGATTTTACTGGATAGGGCCCCAGCTTCCCTCCCATGACTTCCAAAGTTTTCAGAACTTCACTTTCAAGCATCGTGACAGAAACAATTTGATTGAATACCACGTTGTATGTAAGATGCACGACGTGGTCTTGACCTTGACTAAAATCCACCAGCTTCATGGAGACAAATTTCTGATTCAGTTTTGCTGTGGAACGTATCAGATGTGACAGCTAAAAAATAAAACAATCCATTCCATCAAGCGGAAGAGCTGAATAGAAAATATGTCAAACCTCGAGGCCCATCCGGCTATGATCAATGTCTTCTGATGTGTCCTTATGAATAACATCCAACATGCCCTGGAGCCTGAATACATCTGATTTCCAAATAAATAAAATACAACAAAAGCCGGAATATCGAATAAAGCTCTCTGCAGTATGGCAATTCCTCAAGTTTTGTCAGCATTTTACTTTCCAGAAGATGCACAAATATTTACCAAATGCGTCCGCCGAACAGCATAATTTTAAGAAGCCTGTTTTTTCCATCCACGTTTAATTAGAGAGATCAGTATAGCAGAGCAAAAAATTCTTTTAAAGAGGGTTCACTCCGTCGCACCTGTTTTATTAATAAGCGAAAGGTCCCAATTGCAAAAATCTTCAGGAATAATGCCGAATAACACTACGTCAACGTCAATAGGTTTTTTCATCTTCTAGAAATTGGGATGTTGACGAAACCGGATGTGAGATTTTTTTTCTTGCTGCTGTTAAAAAAAAATGAGTCATGTCGAAGCTTTCATCAAGCAGAGATAATTTTCTGCTCTTCAACAAAATGTTTTTGATCTAAGCGGTTTGGAGATTCGTTATTCATGAAACGATGGGAACTCAAGAGATAATCAGAGATAATCTTCTGCCCATTGAGAATAATTGTATTGGTCTCAGCGGTTTCGAGAATCGATATTTGTGGAACTAGAAGAACTCAAGCTGAACTTCCGAACAGATTTAAATCTTGACTTTACTTTGGTTGACACGTTCATACTTGTAAGTATCCCAGGAGAACGTCGAACACCACTTACAAGATTAACTCACGAGGTGACGCAAAAACATGTCTTTTCCGGATCCACTAAAACCTTTTGAATTATTCGATTTCAAGGCACTGTGCTGACAAAACTAACGAACTAGGTCTTCGTTATTGAAATCAAAAAGTTACCTGAGGTTTTCACATCCCCGTAATTGACTCGATGAGCTAACATGAAGCCATTATGCAATTGGATTGCTTTGGCGATATCGTAGTTGACGTGGTCCGCAAAATGCGGTCGGTTCAATTTTAGCGACAAGAATATCTCCCTGGTCACGGGATCGAAGTTATCGACTTTGACTGATTTGACGTCCCCAGCAGTCATGACGCCATCTTTCAAGCCCACAGATAACTGCGCGAATGATTAAAATTTAATAATCGCAGATATTTTGGCCATGAAATAAGTGCACTCACGAACTCTTCCACGTGTTTGGCAAATATTTTACTCGCCGGTGATTTCATGCCATTCCATTCTTTAGAAACATTCAAAGTATCCAACTTGATTCGTGAGAGAAACAAATGTTCCGTTTTCGCTTCAGGAAGTTTTTCTGTGAGTAAATTTCACTGATTCATCGAATGGTTTCAGAGCTTTTGAATTTCAATACAATTTTCTTGTTTTTAATGTAGAGGACCCCATCTTCAAAGCAGGCTGAAAACCGGTCATATTTAAGAATTAAAAATATGAAACATGAGGGGATAAAATAAATAACTAATTTAGTTTCTTCGGGACTTTAAAGAAAATCTAGTCATTTCCGAATAACCCCCCGGACTTGACCTGAGTCCGGAATTCTACTTCAAATTAATGGACGGATATTTTGTTGATTGCATCAAGCTTCAATTTTTTCAACGCAGCTATAGTTAGGTCAGATGAATTAGCTACCTTGGATCCGGCTAACATTGAGGACACATTTGCATTACCCGCCAGTATCTAACCGGGGGATTAGGTACAGGGGGATTCACGCGCTACAGAATGCAATAAAATGTGGGTCTAGTACAGTACAGTATTTTGAACATACAATATTTTAAGGAAGCTGCTTGAAAGAAAAGTGGGGATAATTAGAAAGAGAGGGAAAATCATGACATCTGGAAAAACACAAATATTAGCATTTGACATCTTTTTGGGAAGAAAAATAAAAGTGTCACCCTTTTCCTATAGACAAAGACAGGTGGCTTGCACTGAGAAATGAGTGACTTCCTTGCTCAGGTCAAAGATTCTTTTTATTTTTCCGAAATGAGCTGAGCAAGAAATTACTACATTGGCCACCGAAATACAGCACACAAATGCTTACTTTTCTCTTAAATTATTATTTAGGTATTTTAATAATCGTTGGAATTGTCAAAAAAAAATTTTTTAATTATCCTTTCCTTTTTCAGGTGTAAACACTGTTAAGGGGTGATGCCACGAACCCCTCTCCATTCTTCTCGCTATACCGATTTACTTTGAAACAAAGACTTAATGAAGGCTTTCAACTCACGGAATGATTAAAATTTTGTAAGGTTTAGTAGCCCGCGAATGACCCTGTATTTATGTGATTTCGCATGTACAATAGAAGGGATTTTGTTTAAAGAAGGGATGTGCCAAGAACTTTGAAAACATTGTCCTCAGAAAATCAGCAAGGATGAAACGTTCAAGTACCTCGGGAAAGCAGTGCAGGTAGCTCATTATCGGATTCGAAAAATGCCTCACCGGGATGTTTCTCCGTCGAAGAGTGATCAAATGTATTCGTAATAATGACATGAGGGGGATCCGGTGTACGATCGCGAACTGCGACAAAATAGCAAAACGGCAAATTTAGCAAGCAAATTTTGTTGAAAAGGATACGAAGCGGAACACTTACCGAGCAATACGGCTATGAAAACGACTGCGGCCCCCAAAAGCGCAGCAAGGATAGTCACTGCTATCACCCAACACAGCCGGCTCGATTTTCGCCGCGAATTTCTCGGTGGCTCAATCGCCCTTTCTCTCATATTCAAATTTTCTTGTTCTTCGACTGCGAATTATAACTTTTTATTGGGAGGACTCGCGCGGGAAAAAACTGTTCTCTCACCTAGCGGTGAAACAGATTTTGGTGCTTTCATGCTGCTCATAAGCCGGTTCGAATGCCTGTGCTTGCGGCTGTAACCGAACGGGGTACGACTTCCTTCACTGATTAAAATAAAATAAAAAGCAGCGTAACTTCGTAATAGGGTCTGGCTTCTGAGCAAATTGAGTGCATCTTAAATTAAATTTACCATTTTAAATGTTTCCGACTTGAATTTTTTCATCACGAGATACGTATGAACTCGATAATCCGGGATAATGATTACATCATGTGCCTGCATGATTAAATATTGTGAATTTGTAAAAGAATTGGAACAATATTCTGGTAGATTAATATTCAACAGAGACCTTGGATTATACCATTAATACTCCGACGTATACTTTCAAAGTCAATTTTATGCTAGGGAAATTTAGGGAAACAAATTGAAGGTCACTTTCTCGTCACTTCGTGGAAAGTTCGGCGCGTTAATCCGTATTCGCGGTTTAGGAAAATCGGGGTAACCGTTTCTACTGCATTGATCCACGTCAATGATGAATGTATTTCCGAAAGATTTTATATGCTTTTGTTAATTGAACGCTTATGTGATTGATTCTGAACCTTTTATCAAACGGGGTTCCAGCACTTACTTATTCAGAAGCTGTTCCTCCTCATGCGAGAGCGTTTTCGCTTTCTTGACAGTATTGATGTAAGAAAACCCACCGTCGAGTCCATGCTTCACAGTTTGGCGACGATGCATGCTTTTGGCTCGCAAAAGTTCATCCTGCTTGTCAGCGATTGCGGCGTGCGAAGAATGCTCAGCACTGTGTCTCCAATCGCCCGCGTTGACACCCCAGGAATCAATTGCCGCGTCGTCAGTCGGCGGCATAAATGACGCTGGCGGCTGCTGAAACTGCATCTCCTCGCTGCTGGTTGGGACATCCTGATGTTGGATGGACGACTCAGTTTGTTCTTGGAATCCGGACACATCGTCTGGGGGCGGCCTAAACGTCGACGTGGATCTCGGATTCGGCGGAGGAGGCATCGGAGGCGGGGGCGGTGGCGGCTTTTTCGACCCATGTCGCCCGGGACCGCGGTCGCCGATGAATGACATCAGACTTTTCGACGCCGTCTATCTATTATTTTCTTTTGCTTTTTCACACAATGGAGCCTTGGGAAAATACAGGAATTGAATACGAATGGAAATTCGCAATCACGGGGCATTTTTATTTCAAGAAACTGAATTCATTGCGCCATGAAAATTGGGAAAAGAAGGAAACATCACGCAGAAAAAATGGGGAGAGAAAATGATCAAGGGAGAAAGTTTTAAAAGAACGTCAGAGGGACAGTTTAGCTTGGAAAAGACATGGAGAATTTAGAGGGTAAAAACTTAAAATTAATTTTAAAAATGAAAATGTAATATCCCATAAAAAACACGTAAAAGGACCAACACATTTGCCACGAATAAAACCCAAAAATTGTAAAAGAAGGTAAGGGAAAATAAAATAAATTCCTACGCATTCAAGACATTTTTTTATCGGCGAAACATTTTCCACCCTGCGGTTTCTCCCGTCTTCAATCAAAGTTCAACATATCACCAGTTTCTGAAACATATTTTCATCCGTCATTAGATTTTGTTTTCAGGGAAAAAATATTCAAAAAGTTTGTCAGACTCGTTCTGAATGAGCGAACACGCACGCGAAGTCAAATCTTCGCACTCGACACTTCAACGCACCTTTCTTCAACTTTTTTCATAACCTGCGACCGGAGAAAATGCGTTGGAGAAATCTTTACGCGGATTGTTTACAGCTTCAAACTTAATTTTCAAAATTGTTACGAATCATGAGACGAAAATTCCTACTTTCCAGGAATTTTAAAGTAACGGGAAGCGGAAGATCACTGCATGACTCAGGGGGGTTTAAGGAACTGCGTTCCGAAAACGCACATAATTTCGCAACATATTCTTTGTTTCCAAAAAAGTGAGCGAACACTCAAGATTTAGTGAAGTAACTACGAATGGTGAGCTTTCACAATACGAGATTTCACGTTTCTAACGTGGCTTACGGAACTTCGATGCATACTGAGATGGTCTGTGACGAAATGAGTCCGGATCTTTTCATTATTCCGGTTCTAAGCCCGTTTTTCTTCCTTGTCTCGGGTTTACGGTTGACCGGCATTCCCGTAGAATTCACAATTTTTTTTTTCTGGAATGGGCAAGGTAATTTCAACTAAGATAACTGGTTCAGATTTTTTCCGACCTTTTGAGAAATTCTTGTTTCATTCTTTTTGCAGAAGTCCATCCGAACATTCAGAATTTTCGATCACAACGATTTTCAAAATTTTCCGAAGGTATCTATATGGAATGGTGGAGATAATGCTGCAGGGGCCGGCAGCCGAAATACAGTATCATATTTATGCAAATACTTTACAGACTCTCTTTTATTTTCAAAAGATCGCCCAAAAATTCGGATACACTATTGATCCAAGTATTCGAGTATAGGGCATACTCACGTTTGCTTCATAAAAGAAGCTCAAGATTGTTTGACAAGAGCGAAACGCGGAAGTCGACAAACGTTTTAAACACTTGAATAGCTCATTAAAATAGTAAGAGGAAAGTGTTCTTATTTTCCTTCGGATGTCTCGAACAGCTTTCTTTCGTTCTCACTACAGCTAGGCCTGAATCTCTAAACAGTTCTGTTATTTTAAACTTTTTGGACTATCATTTCACCTAGATTCTTTTCGTTCATAGGCCGTAATTTGTCTACAACGTACAGCTTTTTCGTGGCCTACATTTTTTTTTTTTCCTAAAGGCCTTACAAGAAATTATGATGCGGTCGAGGGTACGTGAATTCGAGCTATCAATGAAATCGTGCTTGTTCGTTAATTTTTCCTTCGCTTTTTCCGAGAAACTTTTTTCTTGAAGTTGAGTGCAGTTGATTGCGCAATTTCCACCTGATGTTGCCTTCAACGTCGAGCAGAATTGAAGCCGACGTAATTTGTTTTCATGCTACGATTGCGCTTCACGGAGTTCATGAGCGAGGGGAGCAACAGTTCACTATTGTTCCTTGCATTCTTTGAAAACGACGTGGCGTCGATCGACAGGGCAATATACTTCTACTTGGTCGTCGGGGGGAATCGACCGACGAAATATAAAAAAAAATAATACTAGGTGTTCGTTATTCCCCCCTAGTGAAAAACTGCGCCACGTCGGGGAATGAGGGGGAGGGGGAATTCCGTAGATTTCCTTGTCAGGAGCGGCAAGTCGTCGCAGGCTTTTAAAATGACGACTGACATTCATTGCCGAATAGTGGTGGAGTGATGATCGAAGATCGCGATTTTTTTCAAGTTAGCTGTGTAGTAAGAATCACTAAGATCGGTTTCCATCGACAGGTTTTATCGAGTGAGCTCAAGTTCTTCCTCCGTGGTCAGTGTGAACAATGAACCCCAAGTTTTTGGCCGTACTTCTCGCGTCGGCGCTTTTGTCGTCGGCGGTTTCAGGGAAACCTGCTTTGAAGAAACGTCATCGAGTGGAAACGCCCCGAGATTCTCGGCAATTACAGGAAACTAGCTGGGAGACTGTTGGTCAAATCGTGGGAACTGTGCTGGTGAACTTCGTATCTGACGACGCTTTCCAGATGCTCACCGGGGTTCTGACGGCTGGCAACGAGTTGCTCCGTACTGCTGACCAGTACCTGGACATCACAGAGGCAGTAATTAATGCACTGACCGGAGTTCTGAGAATTGCCTTGGAATCCAACGACAGGCAAGCTAAACAGCTTAATGACTTGATGGGACCTTTGGAAGCATTAGGACAATTTTCCGAAACCCCACTGGCGACGATCATGAACAGCGTTACGTTGCTTACCGAATACATCCCTCGTAATACGAACCTACGTCAAGGTGAAAATTCTTATTTTAAATTTTGAAAAAAAAGAGATTCAGTTTTATTCGGTTTTCTAGATATTTGGGGATTCGGGCAAACGCTGCTTGGGATCTCAGAGAGACTGAACTCGGTCATCCGGGATCTGCGCTCGTCTGTGGACACAACAACTGACATTGTTAACCGGTTCACGGAAATCCGCAACAATCAGGTTTCAGGAGATTCTCGTCAGGTCGGACAGACCATCAATTCTTTCTCCGAGTTTTTCGAAGAGAGTTCCACTGCTCTTTCTCTATTGACCGGCGATTTCGCCAATGATGTCGGGGCATTGTGGCAATCCGTCGGAGTCCTGGTTCGAGATTTGGATGAGAACCTCAATGCGACGTACTCATCGGGTTCCATCAGGGTAAATTGATTCCGGGGATTCCTTTGTTCACATTCTTGCAAAATAATAAATTCAATTTTATTTCATAAGAAAATTATAAATTAATTTTAATAAAATTTTACAGTTTATTTAATTAATTTAAAATTTAATAGTTTGAATTTAATTTAAATGTTTCTACTTTAAGTTCGAAAAAATCTATCTGACGTTAGACTTGAATCCTTTCCACAAACCAATTTAATTGATTGCAGATACAACTCACACTGCACAAATACTTCAACAGCAGTATCAACGCAGAACATGACTTGATAAAATTCACAAAAAATATGATTCGTTTGTTGAATAACTATGAAATGCCTTTCACACTACAGTGAGAGATCATTGCATGAAAATTTTGAAAAATGAGAAACGATAATCGAAATCTCGGTCTTTTAAAAATGTATCTCATGAATGTTTCGGGAAAGTGGCTCTGCTGCGGAAAGAAAGTTACGTTTGTAAAGAACGCATGGCATGTCGCATGACGTATCCTGAAGCTATAATTACGGATATACGGTTGCTAAATTTCCTGGAAAGTTATGGAATTCATCACACGAGAATGACTGAGATTTCTTTTTTTCTTATTGATCGCGAAGATCGGAACATCAGCCTTCAACTTGTACGATATGCTCGGAGACGTCTACGACGTGACTTACAGATACGCAGTAGAAACCCTGGGGATGGAAGTGGCAGAGCAGAGGCTTAGGACCTTGATTGGTGACATGGTTCAGCTCCAGACAGTCACCACTAACTACGTGGGCAACATGGGATCTCAGGTGCAAAGCCTCAACAACGCCGTTTCTGCTTCTCAGGTCTCCAGCTCTCCCTTCGACGGCGTTTTGCATTCAGCGTCGAACGCACTGGCTAGCGCAGCTGTTATTGTCGTCGACACTTCAAAGTTCCTTGTCGATGTCACCGACGTCATTGCCAAGGCTCTAGATGATATGCACAGGTATACTTCATAAACCGGCCCAGTTCTTAAAGACAAAATTCCTCAATTTATTTGATTTGTAAAGCTCTTGCCATGCTACATTCATGCAATATTTTCAAGTCCCCCAGGCCAGGCTTTAATCGGAAAAGTTGATAGTGCATTGGTCGAAATGTTCTTCGCTTTGAAATTTGTGCATCTAGTGAATCTTCAGGACTAACTTTCCCAGTTTAATTCCTTTTAATGTCCTGAGAATTTTAATTTCATGCGAGGACCAAAATATCAAGACCAGCAGGTTATCCGCAGTTCAGACTCAAAAACTGAGGATTCCGATGCGTTTGCAGTCGGGGAAAGCGCAGTAGTTTATTTTTTCGTATTTTCAATCTGAGTTTTTTTTTATTTACAGGCTCGAAAGTGATTTCACAAGAGCTTGGATCAAGTTGCTTCCTGCCGAGTGGGGATTTAATGGAAATCTCAGTGGATGGTACAATGCTGGACGTCTGATGGCCGCTATCTCAAGGTAATCAGAGGAACAAATTAAGAAGATTTCTGATTTTTCACTCGTCGGAAAAAAATCCTGAATGGATTAATCTCAATTTTTGTGTTCAGTCATAAAATTCACCGCACCAAATATCAACCAAGTGTACTTCACAACATTTGACTAGAGCTCCACGACGAGCTGACGACTTATTCTTTTGACTATATATATTTATCGCAGAGCGGATATGAAATAAGATTTTAATTTCGATTCAAATGTATTCGCAGATACCTGGCATCTTTCCAAAGCGCATTCCAAGGCATTGCAGATTCGCTGACATTCGGTTCAAACGTCATGAACGACGCTGCCGGAGTTGCTTCCAGCGCTATGGACCCGGCCCTGGTTAACGGACTACGGAGACTCGTACAAGGAAAATAATTTCACGTTCTTCCTCAAGACGGTGTGATGAATTGGCTGCTTGCTGTCGCGCGTGTTTTTTAAAAAACCCAAAATTGTTCTCTAAAAGAAATCGGACCAAAAATCAGTACGGCCAAAGTGATGTGTCATCGTATGCGATTCCTCGATGTGTGCTATTTTGCTGTGACCCAGGGAAAATAAATTATGTGGATTTGTGTGAAATTCTTGTTCCTTTCTATGGTAGAAAAATATCGTTGCAAAGGGTTGGAAGTATGGTGAATTTCATCAGGAATTTCCGCTGAGTCGGACTTCGAAAAAAAAAAAAAAAAAGAATTTGAATTGCACGAAGTCTTTAGATTTGGATGAAAAACAGAAAAATGATTAAGATCGGCGTAGACGGTCAGTGATCATCATCTATTCTTCAACCTGTGTAATAATCAAATGATTATGTTTGATTATAAATATATGTGGACATGTAATAATCAAATTATTATTACACACACAATATAAAACTAGTAAGATCTGCACACGGTTTTCTACATCAACAGGTGTGATATTTATCGCTGAATCCGCTTCCAACCGAATTCTGCGTTCAGATTTACATAAGATGGCCCACTGCTCGGTCCAGAAGCAATTTTTTTCCAGCAATTGGACGTTTTTCGAAATATTTTCATGGCTTATAATTATACAAGTATATTGATGGATGAAGGCTGAGGAACAAACGATACTTGGGAATTGTTCGGAATGATTTTCCTTATTTCAGAATTGCGAGCATGATTCTATTGCAGTTCATTATTTTCAAGTAGAAGACTGGGTATCACGTACATGTATCCGTACAGTATACGTAGAGTATTATTGATTTTTAGTTCAAAGTTTGGCCAGTATGGATTTTTGGTCATCGTCCTTCTTCCATTCGACAATATTTACTCGATGATAGACCTGAATTTCCTCCCAATTAAAGGAAGTGCTGAAAACCGAGGAAGCGAAAATGCGCTTTATTTTACCGTGTATTGTGCGCACTAAAAAATTTAAAGCAGCCACTGCACTGTTAAAGAATAAAACCTATAATAACAAATTTTAAATTTAATCCCACTTGGATTCAAGAACTAGGATAAGCTACAGAGGTTATTTGCTCTATATAAGTAAGATTCGTTCAGTTTCGGAAATTAAATACAGGTTGACTCTCTCTACATAGTCTAAAACAAACCTTAGGGGACCAGAAAAAATCGTTGTAAAGATAATTTCCTTGTAGATAACCCCTACAACATGGGGAGTTAACGCTGTGGGACCACAGACAATTCCTTGTGTAAAGAAAATCGTTGTATAGACAATTAGAGAGAGAGTCCAGCTGTATATGATAAACCTACCGAAGAGGAAATAAACCTGCCTGAATACGTCATATTCTAAACAAAATTCAATTGTGCAGCATTTTTCTTTCCGAACACGTCTGCCAGTTTACTCAGTTATTTTCAACTCTGGATTAAACGCCGGATATTAGGATGATGGTTCCTGAATTTTCGTGAGAACACCATGTGACTCAATTTTTTTTGTGTGGATGAAATGTACGTATGACAATCGATTGCGATGAAAACTCGATGAGTTGATAATTATCTTTATTGTCGTTAATGTGTGGCTACAGTCAATGAGTTTAAACAATGAATTTTCAAATCTCCAGGCAATACACTGTGCGTCGACGTCGCATTACAAGAACTTGAAGCGGCATAGGCTGCTATGATTCTCCGCCTTTTCGAATGAACCGTACCGTGAAAAAGAGACAGATGCCAAGTCGCAACGTCGGTGATGTCAACTGAAAAAAAGAAAAGAAAAAACCGCAACATAAAAAATCGACACCGACGATTAGTACGGGGGAGCTGCCACAGTAAGCTCCAGCTCACAGAGCGAGTTCAGCGATGAACTCAGCGTCTTCGAACTTCTTCAAGTTCCTTTCGCCGTCTATACACGTCACTTATTTGCAATTATTTTGAAGCATTTAAATTGTTTCCTCCCCGGTATAATTGCCTGCATTCGTGAGAGACTTTCCACAACACTCTCGTCTCTGAAAGTTGTATATTTGTGCTCTGCTGATATTGTTCGGCAAGTGAAGAATCTGAAAATAATTTGCTGAAACGACTTTGACTTTAGAAAGCATTAAAAAGCAAGAATGTTCGGCCTTTTCAGTTGAACATTGCCAGATGGTCCTTGAATGCTATAATAAACATTTCTGGAATCATTGATCATGAAAAATTGCTTCATTTTGTCTTTATTGATTCGGGGTTCCTTTTTTTTATACCAAGAGAAATGCTGATCATGGATTTGTCTGGAGGAGCAGTGATTAGTGCGTTGTTTCTGTGTATGATACCATCAGCTTTCTCGTCTACTCTTGCTTCTGAGTGCCAAAGCATGCTTATATTTGCAAGAGAAGCTTCCACTGGAGAGTTTTTCCAGAACTTCGAGAAGATCATGTCGTGCGCATTGCTGGAGCAACAGCGGTTTGTGATTTCGTGTATGAGTGGTTTCAATCAGGAATTTAAAATTTTTTTTTTCAGCAGAGCCTCAGCGAGGCAAGCTCGGGGTAATTTGCCGTTCCAGTTTCCCGATAAAAGATGCAATTTTCCGTGCTCGACAACATTCAAGGACGTCTTCTTGGTGCAGATTCCAGCATGTGCTTCTTACGATATTCAGTGTTGCGTGTGCATAGTTGGCACGACGTTCAAGACCATTTTCCCTGAGGGATCTGGCATTCTGTCCACATACTACCAGCAATTTCAAGTGCAGCTGAATGAAATAATCGCATCTTTTTTCTCCAACGTCTGAAAATCTGTGTGTGTTGATTTGCGAAATAAAAATGCAAGTGCGTTCGTCAAACTCAATATATAGAGTGAATCCTCAAAAACCGAAAATAACGCCTCGTCGTCATCGTCGATGATCTCGTTGCAAATTATTCAGGACTCACACATCTTTCAAAAACGAAACAAAATCATCGAGAACCATCAACAGTCGCGTCTCATTTCAAGGTTGTTTCAGATTGTGATGCTGATAGGGAAGAGATCATTTCACAAACATCATGAATCATGGCTATTGAGGAAAGTATTCAGAATTGAAAAGTATGCAAAACAAAGCGACGATTCGGGTCCAGTCATTCTGTGAGGAGTGTGTCTCGAATGAATCAACTCGTCTGAACAGTCACACAATTAGGTGTATGACGAGGGGTGATCCATATATTTTCGAAGTCAGGCAATTAACGGGAAATGGACAAACGCCATCACTGGAGCTGGTTTTAAATTTATTTTAGATTATTCATGATTCCACCCTCAACTTGGAAACACAGTTCTGACTCATCTTGAGAAACTCATCGAAGTAGTGGATTGGCGTGTGTCATCGAATCATCAAGGGTTCGATGCTGAAGGTCTTACAAGAATTCGTGTGCAATGCATAATTTTGGCTGAAATTACATAATAAATATCTGCCATGTTCCTGAATCAAACTTTTTCGGAATGGAAGCGAATGCCTGATCCATTTTATTCTTATAATTTTAAAAATATATGGACCATCCCTCGCATGCCTCGAAATGTTTCCGGATGCAAGCTGTTCAGTTCCTGCAAATAATCCATTCATTCTTCCCGAACGTGGTAACATAGCATGTAGGGGAATATGAGACCCGCGAACGTTCGTCAACAGGTTTCTTCATAAAATACACAACAAAACCTCCAGAGAACCGAGGATCATCAACGGGAGGAAACGAAACGGAACAAAGCGGCGAAGAACACATGTCCAACTGACTTTGATTCTTTACAGAGCCTCGCCGCCGAAATCTGCAAGCGTAATAAAAGTGCTGACGTGACCTCGATCGGTTCCCGACTCCCAACAACGAAAATTTTTTCGCACTCCGTAACAAGTTTTTCGAAACCGCGATGGCGATGAGCGCAGTTGTTGCCGTCGCCAGCGAGAACAGACAAATATCACAACGATAGCTTTCAACTCGTTTCCAACTTTTTCCAGCGCACTTGGATTCAGAATAGGCTATTTATGTCTTCCTGTGACAATGATTCATGTGCGAGACTCGAATACGATTCTACTGCGTATAGAAGGCACTTCAAATGTTCCCTTACATTGATATTTTTGCCGTAAAATAGTTTCAAATTTCAGCGTTTATCAAAAGTCGTTATTCCTTCTTCGGAAGGCCGAGCTGCTGGGAAGTAAAGGCTGGATGTACTCGTATTTTCAGCACCATGCATGAACCACAACAAGAACCAGTTTCAAAGGGGCCTACGAAAAAACAACCGAGTCGAAGAATGAGCAAATTTGCCACAACTTTGACACTCCCGATTTTGCAATTGACGGGAATTTTTTGTGGAAGATTACTGAGGGACGCTATTTTTAGTCGGACTAGTCGCTCACTTCACGGTAGCTTCAACTTTTCAGGAAGAATTCGCTTTACTTTTCTGAGCATTCTGAGTAATTTTGGCGACGTTTGAGCGCTCGTTGTAAAACTGGTTGATGAAGTTCCGGACGGACTGCGGAGGTGCAAGGGCGTGATGAGCCACCCAAGGCGGCAAACTGCGCTTTTCCCTCGACTTATTCCTGTCTGACCGTTTGGAGAGAATGAAGCCCAGGGGGCCTACGTTGAGCTGGGGAATGATTTGGGGCTTGGGCACCCGCAACCCGGCGAACAGCCGCTGGGCGAACCCGGCGCCGAACCGCTTCTTCGGAGCTTCCGCGTTTTTGCGTCGCTTGAACTGTGGGTCTCGGCGATGAGGACGGTCACCCGTCGGGCGACGGCGCCGCACAGGGGCGTCGTCGTCGTATGCAGGGCGTTTGTTGGCCCTGCGCCGGGGCGGCGGCATTTCACCGGAATCGTTGTCGCGGCGGAATGGTCGTCTGCCCGGACCTGGTGGCTGGCGAAGGAACTGAGGTCTCCGCATGCCGCCTGCTGCTCCTCGCAATGCTGGAACAAATTTGAAAGTTTTCAAAAACGCTTCCATAGCTTGAATATCATTTCGAAGGTCCTCAAAATTCGGTGGAAATACTGTTGAACATTTCGCATTACAGTATAAGAATCTGATATTTCCTATGGTCAGCGATGCGAGGGGTTAAAACAGCTGTAAAGCTCTTCAGGTTGCGTTCAGTATACAGGTACATTGATTTCCAACACTTTCCGAGGGAACATCGGGTTCGTACTCGTCTTTCATGAAGTCTTGAGGAACTCATTACAATGTCACTCATAAAATCTCAGTAAAACTGTGAGTGGGTCTCTGTAATACACGTATTTACGATTCCAAAAAGAAAAGCGCCATCTGCATTATAATCTACTCCAAACATATAAAATTTTTTAAATTATTAGGATATAACATACTACAGCATAGTGTTTTATTATTGGCGCATTCTGCATGATATATCCTTTACAGTCTGGAGTCTAGAAAGATGTGACCATAATTAAAACATTATTCAATCCGCATATACGGAACGTATTTTAGCACCTTTTGATTCCCAATTGGGAAATCAATGTACATTATTCTTTCCAACATTTTCATCATTTTTTTTTCGAAATTGTGTCGAAGGGCACTACATTGTCTTCGGTGTTATGAAGATCTTAGCTTTTGTGCCTTGAAAATATGATTTCAATGATCATCGAGAAATGAGGAGAAGGTGGATGAGAAATGAGGAGGGGGAAATTCTCCGTAGCTTCGCACTGGATTTTAAATTATATTCTTATTTGGGAAAACTCTAACATTTTCACTGATGTTAGTTCTACGATTTGCTTCAAGCTAAGAAGCATTTATGGTTGTGAGAAATTGAAGTTCAAATACGAAAATTCAGAGCTTGAGACATTGGTTCATTCAGTCCCTCTTTTTGTGCCGGTTTTCAAACAACCTAGGGGGCAGTCCCTGCATGGTTACTGCTACAAGTAGTTTCCAGCCTCTGCCTTCAGGCGACTGGGCGAGGTTTACTCAAAAGGGTCAGACTCCTCTGAAAAGAGGCAAACATTTAATATGTTTGGTAGGGTGTCCTGAATGGAAGGAACCCCACAATCGTCGCCTGTAGAAGCCCTCAGTCATCAAAGAAATACAAGCCAAGTGTTTGTTCAGAATCAGTTATACGCAAGAGGCATATTGTCATAACCATGCAACTTCCATCAGGAACCATTGAAAAAAGTAACGTAGTACTGTACTATACGATATACAGTACAGACAATTCGCTACAACAGGATTAGTACCTGCATTTAAAATTTAGATTTTCTAAAATAAAAGATTGATTTCTTGTAATGCAATTTCGTCTGGCCATTCCCAGCAGAATTGGACAGCAACAAAAATTGTTGCTCCAAAGCAACAATATAGGAGAGAGAGAAGGTTTTTTGAGCAAATTCCGATAGTAATGTACAGTACTGTATACACGTTGTTCTTGTAGGGGAAATTATGGATATAACACCCAACTGTGAGAAATTGAAGTTCAAATACGAAATTTCAGAGCTTGAGACATTGGTTCATTCAGTCCCTCTTTTTGTGCCGGTTTTCAAACAACCTAGGGGGCAGTCCCTGGTTACTGCTACAAGTAGTTTCCAGCCTCTGCCTCCAGGTGACTGGGCGAGGTTTACTCAAAAGGGTCAGACTCCTCTGAAAAGAGGCAAACATTTAATATGTTTGGTAGGGTGTCCTGAATGGAAGGAACCCCACAATCGTTGCCTGTAGAAGCCCTCAGTCATCAAAGAAATACTGGTTACCATTGATACTGAGCAACCTCTTGATCTTGCTTACTTATAGTATGGAAATCTCTGTATATTGAATACTCGATTTTAGCGGTCCAAAACGGATATTTCATGGAGAGGATCCTCGCGTTTATTTTGGCAAAATGGATTCTCATTTTTTGGTTGCAGTTTTATTGATGTGATTTTATAGCAACCTGAAAAGTCAAATCAATTTGCATGTGAATACTGAGAAACGTATGTGAAAGGATTTCCGGCGAAACGGGCCTGTTGGAAAATTTTATCCTGTGGAACGAATCCACGGAATCTGCCTGATCCTGTGGGAAGGTCTCCCGCGAGAGGTTCCCGCAGGGATTAGAAGTATTATTTTGAATAAGGAATGTGCAACCGTTTGAATGTTGAAGGACACATCCCTCTTCCTCGGACTTTGCGAATTCAGAAGACTCTCATTTGAGATCGTCAACTCAAAGAGCTCGGAGCTCTGAGGGAAAGGAGGGTGGAATTTATTTGTAAGACTTAGAAAAATCCACGCAAGGTACTCGACTCTTAATGAAAGTGTTGTGCATATTTTTGCATTGAATGTGAATTATTTGCCACTGTATTGACTTGTGCATTTTTTGATGTTTTAAACAGTCAGAGCTGTGGAATCGGAAAAACCGATAGAAAAAAGCACTCCTAAAAATTATTGCGATTTGTTGAAACGTTGGAATATACATCTACGATTGTGAATAGTCTTAAATCAGACTTTCGTTCAATCGCCGCGATAGTCGTCGGGCAGATAGGTCTTCAACGTCATCAGTCAACGCAAATCGTCAGTAACGGAGTCGCCTACTCGGCCGCATCCTCCCGTCTACTTCCTGAGTCCGACATCCTGCTTGGCAAAATCAGCAGACCGACTCGTCCGTGAGCATTCGGATGATAGCGCCCCGCACCAAAGCGGAACAAGGCGCCAAGTAAAATTGAAAGTCAACATCTAAATATCACCACCCAGTGCAACAGAGCATAAACAAACTCTTTCATATGGTCAATCTTGATAATTATCATTAAATGCCTAATCAAAGCAATCAATAAAAACACGGTATGATGCCAGTACGCATAGGCTTTTCATCAATAGTATTCGACTCATTCACAAAAGCGAAAATTCGACATTTCTCCGAGACCTCGACTGCGTTCGGAAG